TCCATGCACAGCGAAGTTGGGTTGTGACTATGGTTGGGGTTGGTCGTTGGTCGGTGGTTGCTGGATCGTTGGTCGCTGGTCGTTGTCGCAGGTGCAGCGACATCAGCATCAGCATCAGCATGTCGTCGAAGCCCTTTCCGATCACTCCATGTACTGAGTGGAGTGTATTCTAGGATAGAGAGCGTATAATGTGGAGTGTACACTGTATGTACATACAGTGAACAGTGCAGAGTACATCGTGGCAACATGTCTCGAGTCTCGACGCCAGTTCCTATTCGCGATTGGACAAGATATATTCCTGGATGCTGTATGTATGCATCGTGTTATCGTATGCTGTATGTATGCTCACGATACACGGCATGTACCTATACCATGCCATACCATACGTACTGTACGATGCCATACGGTGATGGCTCTGGTTCGTCGAGTTGGCCCTCCCTCCAGCTCTTGGAACGGACATGCATATCAGGGGTCGAGGGGGCATTTGTTGCAACTTGTCATCGTCGGGGCCAAAGAGGAAGGCAGTCCTTCTAAGTTCTGCCCACGAGAAGGAAAAAAACCCAAAAACCCAAAAAGAAAAGAAAGAAAGAAAAAGTCCCGTACACCTCAACCCTGCTCACCACATGCACGCCAGTCTAACCTACCCTTAGGTGCACTCAATTACCAGCAGTAGTATGTACTGTACTCTACGTACTGGTACTCCAGAGTATGTATGTAGAGTCTTCGTATTGTCCATGGCTGGAGCCCATGGGCCATCACCATCAGACATTTGAACCACCCACGATCCAATTGGGCCGACTGTCGTTGATCACTGAAGTTCTCTGTCGGCGGCGAAGAAGCTTGGACACTCTCTCCAGTCTCAAGTCTCGAGTCTCGGTCTGTCTCGCTACGTAGAGTAGAGTACTCAGTAGAATAGGCAGGGAGCGCTAATACCAATAATGGGCCCGCGGACTCCAGTCCAAGACTCCAAGACTTGGGAATCCAGAACCAGCACACTCCAGGACGACAAGACTCGGAACTCCAGCACCAAGACAACAGCACCAGGACAACAGCACTCCAGTCCAGGACTCCAGATCGGACTCAACACTCAGGAGTAACCCCCCGCCAACCATTATGCCGGATCAGATCATCAGGAACAAACACTTTTTTTCCTTGTTCTTGTTCTTGTTCTTCTTCTCTTCTTCTTTCGTTCTTTCTGGGGGTGGTTGGGTAGAGTACTAGAAGCTGCCAATAAGTGGTGCCTCACCACCATTACGAATTATAAGTACTAGTCTATATTAGGAGTGCACTAAGCCAGATACAATCAAATGAGTGAGTTGTTGTGACTACGTTGCATGGCGGAAAAACGCCAAGTTGTATGGGGGAAAACCTGGTGAGGCAGCACTTATCCTTACACCCGAGTACTTGGCTCTACAAACGCGAGGACAAAGCCTTTTTTTCTTTTCTTTTTTTCCTTTCGCTTCACCCCACTGCGATCTCTCCTTGTCGGGGTGTCGGTCGGCGGGGAGTGTCGGGGAGTGTGCTTCTTCCCCCGTCGTCCACGCCATCCACGCCATCCATCCATCCCCCACCGCCCCCCCGGACCCCTTGATGTTCTGTTCCTGTCAGAGGAAGTGGAGGGAGGGAGAGCATCATGTATGTATGATAGTCTTGGATCTGGCACCACGTCCGTGGTCGTGCGACACTCTGCGGAGTCGAGTGCCCAAGTATCTAACAAAGTATGTACCTAGAGTACTTACTTGGCGAGCACTCTGGTGGGATATGTAGTAGTAGAGTGGCGATGCACGTAGCCGACAACGTGAAGTCCCACAGCAGCGCGCTCGCCGATCCCCTTGATCCCCTGACCTCGACCTTAACTTCACCTCGCATCAGCAGCAGGCAGCCTCATGCCCGGCCCTTGATACAGATATAGTAGACTATGTATAATATGTATGCTGCGGCGGCGCACCTGGACAGTGGACATGTCCACGCGTTCGTATGTAGCCTAGATATGTGCATCCGCATCCGCATTTGCATCCACTGCGGACTGCGGAATGCGCTCAGGAACCAACCAGACATGTGGGAAAGAAGCAAAGAATCGGTCCTGCAATGGCGGCGTCGGTTTCGTGGGGATGCTCGTTCGAGTCCGAATCTCCCCTTCCACTCACTGCCTCTGCTTTTTTTCAAGAGCCAAGCCGTGATGGCCGCATCCAGAGAAGCAGAGGAAGAAAAAGAAGAAGAAGGGGAAGAAGAAGGGGGAGAGAAGGTTAAAAAGAAGGAGCAGAGGGAGAAGAAGCACTAGAAACAAAAGAAGAAACAAAAGAAGGGGAAGGTGCAGAACGAGAACAAGAACGAGAACGAGAAACAAAAAACAAGAAACAAGAAGGCAGAGTCGAGCAGCGGGCAAAGTGCCGACGGGCAGAAATCGACAAAGACCAGGGCAGCGACAAGGACCAGGACAAGACGCCCGTGCTGACTTTCCCTACTAGACAGAGCCCCTAGTTAGCACTGCTTACTAGTGCTCCAAGAAAGAAAGAAGGAAAAAAAAAGATTCCCAATCCCCGGTTCCCATTGGCTGCAATTGGCAGGTGCGCACGACCGAGACAGGACGTCCTTGCAACCTCAGTCCGCACCACTTGCGGACTGGCGTGCACGGACGCTAGGAGGACATGTCGTCGTTGGTGTTGATTGCATGTGTTGGAAATCAACGAGGAAGAAAGAAAACCCTTTCGTTGTTATTGTTGTTGTTTTGATTCTGTGGCATTCTCTGCGCTCTTGATTGCCACGGCGAGACACGGACAGCAATCGGTGAATCAGGAGGCAGGGAGAGAGGGGCGAGGAGGAGGGCGGAGGACGACATTTAATCGAGGCATCAGGAGAAGAAGACCAAGAGGGAGTAAGGAGGAGAGGACGAGGGGGGTGGGGGGGGGGAGCCTGCAGAGCTGTCAGTGAGGGAGCGCGTGTGTGGGGAAAGGAAGTGGGGCGTCAATTCGTTTATGCTTCCGGAAATACCGAATTAACTGGGGAATTATGTTTCCACAGCCAAGATGGTCCGAAACGACAACAACAATAACAACGAACGAACGAGCGAATGAGTGAACCAGCGAACCAGCGAGCGAGCGAGCGACGTGACCAGGAGTTGCAACTCGAGGACCGGGTGTAGGACAGACGAACGACACGAGACAAGACACAAGGCCCCCCAATTGGCCTCGCAGTCGCTCACTCATTCACTGCCTTTCCCTCTGGACTGTCCTGTTCTGGGTCAATAAAGATAAAACTCGCCTGGTGACAGCCAGTCACGGCGCAACTTCAGCAGCTGCGTGCGGTACGTGCGACTATATACAGCTGTGTATGAGGTATGTAACTGTACTCGCTCCACTGGATCTCCAGCAGCGTCAGTTTCGGACAGGCTGGCGGCGGGCAGCTGGGTGGGGGGGGGGGGGGGCGGAGGCGGAGGAGGAGGAGGAAGATGGAGGGAAGGAGCGAGGGGAGGGGGGGTGATGACGCTGCAGTAGACGCTCCGAAATCAAGCTGATCTTCTTCCAGTGACTCGTCTCCCAGTGGGGGGTGGGGGAAGGACAAAAGAGCCGTGAGGTCCTGAACGAGAAGAAGGGAGAAGGGGTATCGGACCCTCCAACCAGAGTGTTATTATTCTTACATACCCACCACCGGCATACATCATACATCCATCCTCTCACCTTCTCACCCTCTCTCACCCTCTCACCCCTTCCACCTGCTCGTTACTACTCGCTACTGGAATTGCCCTGGCTCTCCTGCGTCTGGGATACCGACTAGAGAGGCTTGGTTTTTCTCCCCAAGAAAGACTCTTGTTCTATCGACATCCATGACTTGGCCCGGCTTCAACCTCCAACTTGATCTCTGCTGGTGCTGCTTCTGCTGCTTCTGCTGCTGCTCCTGTTGCTCTTGCTGCTCCTGCTGCTGCTAGCTCCTGGCCCCCAGCAAATCCGCTCGTTTTTTTTCTTCCTCACGCAGAAAACCCACTCCCTCGTTTGACCCGAGCAAGGTCCGCCTGTCCGTCTGCTTCACTAGAGTAGTAGCTCGGGCACTATATCTTGACGGCATCTCATCTCACCGAATCCCGTCTGGATCGCTGGATATCGAGATAGACATATAATTCCGAGCTCTCCATCCCCGCCAGCACTCTCCATATCGAACCCCCTCCCATGCAGGCGAGATTCGGCTTGCAGAGCTTGCAGAGGCAAGCAAACCGGAGCACCGACGAGAGCATCTCGAACACGGCCAACAATCACAACAACAACGCCAATCGGGGCGGTGGTGGTAGTGTGGTCGATTTCAGAACGACTACTCCCGGCCGGGCTGCTCGCACCAACACCAGCGCCAGCACTACCCATGCATCTGGGGCACAAACCCAGGAACAACGCAAGCATCAGGTCCCTGCCCAAAACACACCAAGCAATTCCGGTCGTGAACCGAATAGCATCTCTTATCAGATAGCTTCATCTTCTTCTTCTTCTTCCTCCTCCCCATTCTCGACTCCGACGACGACCACGGGCTCTCCACACGAATTGATACATCCTCTCTCGCTAGCATCGAGACGTGTAGTGGACGAAAACTGTCCCAACGCTGTGCCTAGTGTATCACTACCACCACTTGCACCTTACCCACAACAACACCAACAACAACAACAAACTCAACAAACCCATCATCACCACCACAACCACGACCTCCACCACCACCATCGTCATCACGAACACCAACAACAACAACTACAGTTGGGGCAATTGCAATCTAGGTTCTCGACAGAATATTGGCCGCGAGACGACCGTACCACTGCAAGAGTAGTCGACGATCATCAGGTGCTTGACGATTTCGGTTCCCGTTCATCGACTGTCAGTCCTCCCGCAGCAAACTTCATATCCCAGTATCCACCGCCACCACATACTCCACCCGTACCTCCAAGTGCTTCCGGTACCTCGCTTCCTAAACCTGGAACGTCAACCTGGCGCCGTCGTCTAACCAAAACTCGCTCCCTGATGACGATGACGGGTCCGGTCAAACGCTCCCTTTCCACCCCAAACGTGCAGCAAGCCGCCGCTGCCGCTGCCGCCGCTGCAGCTGCCGCTATGGCCGACTCCCCTTACTCGACGGATAAGCGACGCAACAAGCTTGGATATCATAGAACTTCTGTTGCTTGTGGTATGTGTAGAGTGTTTTTTACTTTTATTTTTTAGTTGCAGTTTGCAGCTGCCGCATCCGAGTCCCATCCCCCTAGCAATGATCTTCACATCCGCTAATGTTGTCGAGCTTGTTAGGCCACTGCAGACGTCGAAAGATCCGGTGTTTGATCGCGGATGATGACAAGCAAGGACGCTGTGCCAACTGCATTCGCTTGAAGAAGGAGTGCTCCTTCTACCCAGTGGACGCCACCGATCGTCGGCCTCGTTCAATGTCGAAGCCCGATATCAGCCAAGAGGCGGCCTCCGAAACTTCTTCGCCATCACCTGGTCTCAGTGGCAGAGTACCCCACACCGCCGAACCACCACGCGGCTATCCCGCATCGATGCCCGGCACCCCGACGTACGACTTCACTGGCAGCTTTGACGACAACCTCCGTGGCCACAACGGGCAACACCCCATCTCGCGGTCAACGAATGTATCACGCAAGACGAGTCTCGCTCGGATGCACACGATGCCTTTGACATTGAAGGTGGAACAGGGGTTTCTTAGTCCCCGTGATGGATTCGGCCCTCAATGGGATGTCGCATCGCACAGTGACACCATGACTCCCTCCACCGAGTCGTTCCGCACAATCGAAGATCCGTCTGCAGCATACTGGCGATTAGCTTCGCCTGGGGTGCCTGCAAGTCCATACGTGTCTCCTCTGCACAGTCTCGACGCCATGGCTCAATTCGGCGGCTCGACGGAACTGCAAGACGACAATCCTACCTGGTCCCAGGCACCCTCGAGGATGGGATCTATCGACCAGGGTATGTTACCCGCATATGCACTCGGGTCGTACCAGCCAGAAACGGACTTTGTCGGTTTACCGCCCGGACTCGTTTCGACGAATGCATCGACCGCGTCGTTGACGGCATCCATATCGGAGTACGGAGACAATCGTGGCCCGTTTTATGTGAACCAGTGGGGAGGTGACCTTCTGGCCGAGCCGAATGCGTACGAAAGCGGTCTACCACTCAAAGCGGAATCCTACGATTCGCATCCGGCATTCTATATGGACGAAGAGGGTCCGTATCCGCCACTCTCGCAGCCGTCACAGCACGGTACGCCACCGATAGGAATGTCGCACGTTTGAGACACCCAGCTAGGATACAGTGCGTCCCCGGCAACCCATCCATATCGAGAGATCGATCTTGCGGATGGTTATACATGTATAAATACACACATAAATGCGGTGATGATGTACGGATGGGCAAGAGCATGTTGGCGGCGGCGGTTTTACGCCCACACTACACACATATACACATACACACGACATCCGGTCACGATTCAAAACACACCTCTGCTCTTTACGCCCGCTCTGAGTATGGGGTTTTGTGTTGCTTTAATCCACTTGCGTTCGAATTCTCTGGTATGATACGGTTCGGTATAAGCATGGCGATTGTATTTGTTTGATTTTCTCCGTTTCATATGTTTCAACTTGTGGGGTCGAGAAGGAGTGAGTGAGTGAGTGACTGCGAGAGGTGGCAGGAATCGGGCCGCAAAAAAGGGAAGGCGGAAGACTGCTGACTGCACGACAATGGTTACTATTCCTGAAGGGACGGAATCCCGACGCAACAGACACATATACACAGACACACACACACACACACACATATTGTACGATAAGACTATATGGCGTTTTTACAGGCTTTTGATTTGCATTTAACTTGAGCGTTTTTGAATTCCGGGCGGTTCTGCCGGGTGGGTGGGAGGGAGGAGGGGAGGAGATGCATCTGGATGGGGAAGTATACTAGGACAATCTTTGGGATAGGATGGGGATGGGGATGGGGATGGTGGATGCTGGATGGTGCTTGTCGATGGTTAAATACTATGAAGGATTGATTGCATTCGCGTACAGTACATGGACTTCTTCTGGCGAGTGAGGGACAGTGGAAAGGGGACGAGACAACATGCATACTTGAGCACCAGGCAGCAATCGGATCCGAACGACAGGAAGGTAGGTAGGCTGAAGAGAAGAGCCGACGTTGATGACACGTGGAGATATTCTCGATCGGAAGGGGGGCGGGGGACGGTTATTATCTTCAGTTGGTATAACCGCCGATGCCGAGTCCGAGTGAGAGTGAGCGCGAACCCGACTTGTTCCTTATCTCCCCGATCCGGCACGGGGCCACTCTGGTCACTGGTCACTGGACAGTGGAAGCTTCCGGATGCAGCAGCAGCCATCGGTATGGTATATAGTGGTAGCGATGCCCGTCCCCTGGAGGTTGAGCCCAATAGGCAGTCCCGTACAGCCCCACGCACACACGCACACACGCACACACGCACACACGCACACACATACAGGCGATAGGGGAGGGGAGTGCTGCGATGAGATGACGGTGGGGAGCGGCGGGTGCCCCGATGAGATAGTTGATAAGGATGTGGGGTGTGATTGTGTGTACACCCTACGATAGTAGGTATCCGGGAGGCTGCTGCGCTCGTGAGCGAGCGACCACGTGAGTGAGCACAGGTACCGTACAAGTACCGTACCTTTACTATATGTACCTCTACAGTACCATACCGTACCGTATGTACCTGTTTACTGTACTTGTTCGGTACCTCTACCATAGCTCTATCGTGTGTACCTCTACCCCTCTACGGTACCGTAACTCCACCGTACCTCTACCGTACTTCTACTCACCCTACCGGAACCTCTACCGAGAGAAGGTACCTCTACCGCACTGTACTGTATGCACCTCTAGAGTACCGAGGAAAAAGGTACCAGTCAGAGTTATCTAGAGTTATCTAGAGTATCTACTTCTGCACCTGTGATCTACCTGTGATCTCCGCAGCTACTTTGCCCTGCGTCCATGACGTCGGTATGTAACTACGCACGCACGCACACATATGTAGATAGAAGATAGGTAGTTCGGTACATAGCAGATAGGGGAACCATATGTACACACCTACCTCGAGCTGTTCGTTTGCTTCCCGCCCCCGCGCGCGCGAGATCGTCGATCGGCCCGAGAGTAGAGTGCTCTACACACAGATACATACCCTCGGACCCCCGTATGATGTACATAGCATCTTATCTCTCCCCCTCCCTCCAGCAAGGCTGAGCGCCCAGGCAGTGGTGATAGGGCCCCCAGCCCCTGTGGTCCGTAATCGCTCGCTCGATCAATCGATCAATCGAGAGGCTTGTAGCTATCTATCGGTCAATCGGTCATCTCTCGAGGGAGAGGGCGGTGAGATAGCTACGTAGCCAGGCAGGCAGGTACCGGCAAGTGGGGGAAGTAAGCAGCCCGTATTCTCGACGGGGTTATAAGAGGCGTGTCCCCCCGTCGACGGTAGGACTCACGATGGGCCCTGGAGGGGGTGAGCTCGAGCAGTGAGCGCCGGGCTGCAATCGTTTCGTTTCCACCGTGGCTCGTGCAGAGGGCGTTTCGAGCTGGTCTTCTATTCACGGGGTATCACTGCCTGCCAGTGCCAGTGCCACTGCTGCTACCGCTAATGCTACTGCCCTGCCAGTGCCCGCCCGATGCGCCTTATGCTAACTTAGCGCTCGAGGTGGCTTTCTCGCTCGCTCGCAACTCAATCCCCATCCCAGGCGCCCCTTCCCAGGCCACCGCCGCCGCCGCCGGCTCACCAGATATCACTAACCCTCCATTGCACTCCACCCGCCCCTAACAACAAAACAACAATAAAAAGTCCCCGACCGGCGTTCCCGCCATAGTCTACTACTCTAGTAGACAGACTGCATGCGAAATTAACCGAATATCTATCTCTCTCTCTTGTCCCCGACCGGCGACGGTCGGTTTCTCACTCCCCCCCGCCTCCCTGAAGACAATCGGACTGCCATGCATTGATTGTGGCTTGCTTGCCCGACCTCCCCCCACTCCGCCCACCCACCCGCGCGCGCCCCTCACTTCCTCCGTCCCACCACCAAGACAAGGCAAGACAGCCAAGACAGCCACGCCAATCCGGCCGCACCCGACCCGATTACACCCGACGTGCAACTACCTACAGTACAGAGCGACGTCACCTTGATAAGTTGATAGCCGACTGGACTGGACCGGGCCGGGCTGGGCTTGGTGGTGGTGGTGGTGGTGGTGGTGTATCTACGGTACAGTACAAGCACGGCACTCTACTCTTACTAACCAGCTAGGTACCGGTTATGTCACATCTTCATCTTCATCTTCTAGGGCTGTGGCATGGCATGGCATGGCATGGCATGTCTACTATTCTAGGTACCACTCTACTGTTTCGCGACGGCGACCCCCCACGGCCACACGGCCACACGGAACGGAACATGTTGGTGTCTTTCCCGTTACTTGAGGATGGTGGTGGGGGTGGTGGCGGACGGGGTTTTGGTGGTGGTGGAGATGAAGCGACGGAGTGGTGAAGCGACGGGGCACTTGGTGTGACAGAGCGACGGGAGGATTTACGACTACGGCCAGGGCTGGGCGTGGGGGGCACGCGCGATGCAAGCGGGAAGGGAAGGGAAGGGAAGGGAAGGAAAGTGAAGTGAAGTGTTGGATGAAACCCCCGCTTCTGGGGGCGTCGCAGGGGGGGCTCAACCAACGACCCCCCTCCATCGACTTCGGGACCGGAGCTGGGGGCTGGTGGAGTTGGAGCTGGGGTTTGGGTTGGAGCTGGAACGCGCATATGTACGGGCGAGCGAACTCCCTGGACGAAATCCGGCCGCGCCGGATACTACTCGATGAACTGGGGGCTCAGCTCAACAGACGGACGTACGTGATCGGCGCTGAAAGCGAGCGACATCCGGGCTTCGCGCTGATCGCGGGCTGGGCTGGGCTGGCTGCTGGGCTGGGGCTACGAAATCGCAGATTCCGCAACGCTACGCGACGCTACGCAACGCTACGCAACGCTACGCAACGCTACGCAACGCTACGCAAAAACAAATAGACGGAAAAAGCAAAAAGGAAAGGGAAAAACAAAGCCATGGAGAGAGAAGAAATGGAAGGAAAGGGAAAGAAAGAAAAGAAAGAAAGAAAGAAAAGGACAGCGAGACGGCGAGACACTGCGGCTCTCGCTATAGCAGACCCACATACATACCACCAGCCAGTAAGAAAGAAAGAAAGAAAAGATCGAGTCATGTATGTTCTGGTACGTACCGATGAGAATGCTGACACTCCCCCCTCCCCCAAGTAGTAAGTAAAATGCAATGGGGAATGTCCACCACCACCACCACCACCACCACGCACAGTACGCACGCACAGTGAACACGCTCACGCACACGCACACGCAGCCTCCGATCAGCCAGCACAATCCCGATTCCCGCTGTCGTCTCGATCTGTGCGCACTCCACTGCGTTGTGTGTGTCGCATCCAGTCAGGTCAGGTCAGGTCGGTCGGCTGGGTGGGGTTGTGTGTGGATCATCAAGAGTGGATCAGCCTTGGATGATAAGCGCGCGCGGGTAATTATCTGGTCGACGCTCTGGACGTAGCCGCGCATGTTGGTGCGCACTATCAATCGTGAACTACTGCTGGGTTGTAGAGTACGTGCGGACTGTTGCCGTCGATGTGATACCTGGGTAGAGCTTTGGGAGGCTCTGGACGCAGTGTACCTTTGTATGTAGGCACTATTGCTATGTACTGCTGGGCTGTATGTGCGCACGCCTTCCATGCTGTATGAATTATCGATCAAAGTGCGCACGGCTGCCTGTCCGTCGCGGGAGGGGAGATATTCGGTTCCGACTCCTGCGCAGCCGGGTTTGGACGAGGCCACTTCTTCATGGAGGATCACGACGGCATCCATTCGCAGGACCACCTTCTTCTTCTTCCTCCTTTTTCTTCCTATGTCTACAGAGTACCCAGGTCTCACTCTCAGGCATCAGTCAGCCAGTAGCCAGTAGCCAGTAGCCAGTAGCCAGTAGCCAGTAGCTAGCAGCCAGCAGCTTGTCGCGGAAACCACCCTGTTGGTGCATAAAATGACCAGAACGGTTCAGATTCCAGAATCCTTTCCCTTCCTTTTCGTACGTAGCTATGACGGACGCAAACGCCTCTCGAGTCTCCCGCCGTAAATGTTTCCGTGATGTCTCCGTGATGTTTCTCTTCCTATTCCCCGCACGTTTCCCCCGCTCGCGAGCAAACGCAGCGCCGTCACATGCCGAGTCGTCATGGTCATGGTCGTCTCCAGAACGTATTGTACCTACTGCCTAGCATAGCAACCTAGCATAGCGCTCGCGCGCTTACCTCTGCTTCCTTCGCAAATATTCAACGTCCCTTAGGTACCCCCCACTCCCACTCCCCACTTTTGCCCCACCCTCGCCACCCTCAACCTCAACCTCAACCTCAATCCCTCGTGCGACGTCGCACCCAACCCTCCCCCCGGCCGGGCCCGGCTGAGAACTGAACTGAACTCACCCCCCACCACCTCCCACCCTCGCACCTCCCGCCCTGAGTAACGTGAGTAACGTGATACGGCCTGTATGTAGTGCGTACCCACGCACCTACGCACCTAGGTACGCACTGGCTAAACGGCAGAAGTCGAATGTATGCCGAATATCGAAAGTCGAAAGTCGATATTGCGTGGGGGCCCCGGTGCCCTCCCTAGGAAGGGGGGGCCCTGGGGAGGGAGGGGGGGGGGGACGCGGATCCGGCAGTGAAGCGAGAGAGCCGCGAGTGCCTATTGCCCCACCTACCCACCTCCTACCCACCTGCCTCCTACCAACCTCCCACCTGCCGAGGTGTGTGTGGTTGTTTGAAGTTTCCGCCCAGCCCGAGTGACAACCATGAGCGGGAGACGTTGACCGTACATACCGTCAGCCTCCGGGTTGCGTCTTCGGGTTGCGAGATTCAATCTCAATCTGTAGAGTAGACTGTGGGGTCTAGGTCTGGAATCTAGAATCTAGAATCTGGATCGTGGGGTTTTCGGTGGGGCGGGGCGAGCGCGGGGCTGCGGGGAGATGGGTAGACGATGGATGAAATGGTTGGATGGATGCAACCGATGATGCAAATGCACGGCGAATTTTTTTTTGCGGTTTCAGTTTGGGGTTCCAGAAGACCACCAAGAACCCTCGCCTTCGTGCTGTTGAGATGCTGATACACATTTGTTTACACGCAGCCAGACCGCTGGTGATGATGATGATGTTCATACGGTTGCCCCTCAGATGGAAGACGGATGTTGGTTGACGCAACCCGCCCCCTCCACCACCGCAACCACCACCAGAATAGGTAGTGTACACCTCGGAACCAGTCCCGGATCTACACTGGGTCTTAGGAGTCAGGCCTGGCACGGTGCAGTGTGCACCACATCACCATCTGCCCTGCCCTGCCCGGTTTCTTGTTCATCACCACTATGTAGAGTACTCGAGTAGAGTAGAGTACTGCCTTGGAGCAAGAAACTCGAAACGAAATAATAGTATAATTTTTTTGGAGTTTTGAATTTTGAAATTTTAAAAACCGGTAGAATTAATCCCAAGCCGGAAACGCATCCTTTATTATTCCCGTAACCCGTAGTCCGTAACCCGTAATCCGTAACCGGTAATCCGTAACCCGTCATTTAAATTGTTTATTTCTCTACCGGGAGCGAGCGAGCGACTCTCTCTCTCTCTCGAGAGAGAGAGATCCGCTTCCGCTTCCGCGCGCGCTGCGGCCGGTAGATGTATGTATGGTAAGTAAGTGGGCCACTGGGCCAGACGGGCGTCGTTGTTCGTCGGAAAGCCATGTTGGGATTGCCGTGCGCATGTGCATATGCAGGTGCTGCTGAAGAAGGCTGGATTTACGAGCGGGCGCAGAGGAGGAGGAAGAGGAGGGGGGCCATTTTTTTATTCGATTTTACTTTCTTACTGGCTCTGAAGGAGGGGGGGAATAGCAGTGGTGAGCGCAAGGGCACGGAAATGCGGCGGATTCGGATTTGGAATCAAATACATAGTCGGAGTGGCGAGCATGTACCGGGGAGGGGGGAGGGAGGGAGGAAGGGAGGGAGGGAGGGTTTCCCGGCTGTCGCGAGGACGGGCGCGTAGATCCAACTAGCGGGGCTGGACGAAGTGCGTATGTATGGATGTAGGAGCGTGGTCAGTTTAGGCGTCCTGTCGGCGAACAGACAGGCAAACAGGCGAAACGCGTAGCGTGCAGTAGCTGGGAACTGTGGCATGGTATGATCCCACAGACACAGACACAGCCAGGGCCGGGGCGGGGCGGGGGCCGGACGGGGGAAATGGAATGTTCGGTGATGGTGATGAATGACGGCTGTCTGCGATGTATGTCTGTATGCGACTTGATGTAGGTGGCCTGCGTGAGACCTAGACCTCTCGAGAGTGGTGTTTGTTGTTGGGAAGGAGGGGAAGGAGGAGGGCTGGAAGAAAGGAGGAGGATGGGGGGGGGAGAGGGAGGGGAACGACGACGACGAGGGCGAGGAGGGGTGACTTCGAAAGGTGGTGCGTGCGTGGTTGGCTCGTTGCGGCAAGCACAGACGGTCGAACTGGCAGTCTCTGGCTTGTGATAGAGTAGATTCATAGTGCTCCCAGAGTACTCTGCGGACGGTAGATGTTTGCTGCCCCGTCCGACCCCTCATCCCCGCAATATTCAAAACTACCTGCGATATAGATTGCCCGCGTAAGAGTGCAATTGGGATATGTTGATGCGGACAAGGGTAGCTCCGTTCGCTACATAGGTTTCCGATCCCCGAATCTTGGTCGCTTCTTTTAGTTGGCTGTACGTAAAGTTAGGGACGGCCAATAATGCGCTTCAAGGCACTTACGTTCCAGCAACTGGTAACCACCACAACAGGTATCTAACACTTCGACGACACCTTTCACCCGGACCTTTACCTGGTCGGCTACCGGAGCAGGTGAGGTAAACTATCGGGAGTTTGAGGAACCGGTGTACGGGTAAGTCCCTTCACTGGCGATGCACTCACATATCTAGTGCGCATTCCTGCGGATCCCTCTGCCACGCTTCTGCTCATGTGGCCGAGAGGGGGAAGGAACTCTGGACTACTCTAGTTTCCGGCAGCTTGGCAGCCAAACCCCTTGTCCGGATCCCTTAACAAACGGACGTAAGAAGGGAGGAGGACAGAAATTCGGTTGGGCCATCTCGCCGGACCGAGTCGGAGTCGTCCTGATTGACTTCTGGATGCCATCTCAAAGCCAGCAAGCCCTCCTTCTTCGTCTTCTAGTGGCGATATACCGTAGCTCTTTTGACTGGACGTGCTTAGCCGAATCGTCAGCTGTTGCCTGGGCAAGACTTGCGGCTGTGATGGCATCTTCCGAATGGTGGAGAATAAACGATGTCCGACGACGCAGCAGTTCTCGCGGAGTTCGGCGCAGCGGCTTGCGAGCGATCAACCCGGTCAGGTCAGCGTCGATGACGGAAGAAGGGAGTGCACGCCGCTCTGCTCTAGTTGTCTGTCGCTCACTGGGCATCTCGGCCATCCGAACCATTTCAGCGTGACGTGCTGCTGATCCGTATGAGCGGGGGTGATGGAGTCAGGGCGTTGGCACTACAGGACTCCACACATGCCCCTCTTCCTGTTTCGCTGTCTTTGTATGGCACACGTCGGTGGTGTCTCGAGAGTTGGTCCGTCTCCAGCACATGAGCGGTCATTGACCATCGGGGCGGAGTAGGATGAGGCTCAGAAAGGCCAACGGATTTCCAAGAGACTGTGCGAGGTCCAACCGAAATCAGCCCTGGAAGAAGTGCTCGGAGAAGAGTTAGCCAGGCCATGTGAGCTTATGAAGCACAAACGTGTTACTCCAAGAGCCGGAAACCCCGCATTCACCGTATCCGAGTTAGGTCGTATGGCAGGATTGTAGCGCGATGACCTGGAAAGTCGACGCCTGTCCGTGAGGAAACGGGTAGCTGGTAGTAGCAAAGATGGAAAAACGGCGCTTGAGATCCACTGGAACCCAGTCGTCAGGTAGTAGAAACGCGCCCGTCGGACGAATAAGAACGGGCTGAGTAGCCATCCATTGCGAAGGTCAGGCGATGTATGCGCAGAGGTGAAGTCGGCTGTAGAGCGTTCCCGGCAATTGACGCAAGTCACGATGGGTGTTTGCACATGACAGCCCCACTCCGTCCTGGTCAATGCAAGGGAAGGGAAGGATGAATGAGGCTCTGGAAGGGTAAACCGGGGTGCAGGAGGCTGGAGCACGGCCCACACCTCAGATCTGCCTGAACACACAGTGGGGAGTGGGGAGTGGGGGAGCTGGACGACAAACGTGGTCGGCGGGCACGCGGGCAAGCTTCCATGTTGTGTCGGGTAGATGAACGGTACATACAGACACCAGACGAACTGAGTGGGGGGAGGGGGGGAGGGGGAGCACGCGATGGGCCAGGCGTCTATGACGTATGCATATGTGCGTGTTGGATGTTTCGCGTATAAAGGGCACCATGTCACGTGGAGACCCGGAAGAAAAGGAAAGAAATGAAACACGGAGGAAAAAGAAAGCAACGTCAGCGCCAAGTGCCGGACAAATTCTCTTCCACCAGCACCACCACGACCACCACCACCTCATCATCATCACCACCACCACCATCTTCTGCTCCACGTAAATCTGTCTTGTTATTATTGTTGTTCGAGGCTCTTGGACCGTCTGGAGTGGCTCTGTTTGCAAGCGTTGTTTCTTCCGCTCTTCCATCCGCTATCTTCCCCTCAGTTGCGCCCGTAATAATTAATTGCCGCTCCAACTCGCGTGGCCGCAACATCTCCGCTGGCATCAATCCCCACCCCCCCTCCCCGCACGCGGTTCCTTCCCTTCCATTCAGCAGCCCGCCCACACCCGGAAGGTAGCTCGCTTGTTAGCTGCCTCCGGTCTTCTGGGGAGTGGGCACGGAAGAAAGTGCGAAGGAATACTTATGCTACATACTAGTAACTCGAGTGGACGATAGTTACCAGTTCCTATGTAGAGTACAGCATGTGGTTGTGGCTTCAACTAACGGCTGCCCGCTCGGACGTTGGCCATGGATGCGGTTGTCGTGCAGTGAGTTGCAGTGAGTTGCAGGCGCCGACGACGATATCTATGTAGAGATAGGACTTCGCGCTCTGCTCTGCTATAATATGATACTAGTAGACGTTGCACTACACAATTCCATGATCCGGTTCAAAATTACACTTCCGAACACCACATACATACGAGAGCGAGCAGGCGAGGAGGTTCCTGCGGTGGTCCGGCCTGATAAACCCCATTCCGTTCCGGAGATAGCGGTTGTGCCCGTTTCTGTTTCTCCGTTCTCCATATCTGTCGCTCTGTACTCGCCTCCGAGCTCCTCGAATCTCGCGTCAAGTGGTGGCGGCGGCGGTGCTCCATTGCCCAGATATGTACCGTCATGCCATTGCCCTCGCGCCCTTCCCCCAGCGTTCCCCGCCGGTTCTTCGCTTCATCCTCCCTCCCTCCCTCCCTCCCTGCCTGCTGGTCGGCATGTAGTAGGTACATGCTCTAGGTTCGGAGGCAGCTAGGTATTCGTCCCGACAGCCCATCCCCCTCCACCCTCCATCCTCCATCCTCCCACATCCTCTTCGTTTTCCGGTGTGGATGCTGCATTGCTCGAGGGATCCGGAGTAGGAGGACGAGAAGGAGGAGAGAAGAAAGGGTAGGAGTAAGAGGAGGAGAAGGAGGAGGGAGAAGGAGAGGGAAGAGGGTGTACACACCCACCCGGAGGATCGAGCCATAATCCACCGTGCATGCTTTAGAGTGCAGACACAGACATACATACATCCACCCCCTCCCCCCTCCCCTTCCCCTTCGTTCGATCTGTCGTCATATTTTCTGGGCAGGTGTAAGCAGTGGAAACGGAGGCCGCAGAGAAAACTGCAAGTAGGAGAAGAGACCGGTCTGGCTGCGGTCCATATGGGTGAGAGAGTGCAGTGCGTCAAGCAGAGCAGCGCAGTGCAGAGCCGAGCGGAGTCAATGGTGGAGTAAGTAGAGTACGGTACCCTTTTGAGCTCAGGCCTGAGGATACCTAGAGTACCGTGTGCTTCGCTCGCCATCAGCGCATGTTTCTCTTCCGCTTCTTCGGCCCTTCCGCTGTCCTTCGAAGTTCTTCGGTGTGGTGTTCTGATCGCCGGTAAGTCGGAGGCGGAACCGTAGATGTTTATTCGCCCTCTTTTTTTTCCTTTCTTCTTTGTTTTTCTTTCCTTCTTTCGTTCTTTCCTTTTCCCTTTGCCCGCGCGCCCTTTGAATTCTGATGGGAATCGAAATCGGGATATATCAGCGGCCTGATATGCTGTCTGGAGCCGACAAAGAAGCTGCTGATGCCCTGTCTGCTTCGATTCCGCATTCCTTTTGATGATCATGGCCCATTAATCTCGCTGTCCTCTGTTCCCTTGCCTCGTCCAGTGTTCAGTGTCCACCATCCCATCATCCCATCACCAGAAATAAATCAGCATCACCGTCATACTTCCGTTCGCGTTCTTCTCCCGGGATCCACTCCAATATCAACCGAACCTACCTCACAGACTTACTTTACCACCCCCCTCCCTTCTCCCCCCCCGCCCCACCGCAAACCCCGGCCCATGAGTCCAGCGCCCAACGTCCGTCTCGTCTTCCACCTGCCATTTGAACATTAGACAAGAGACCCTTTTTTGCCTCTGCCCTATTTTTCTTACTCTACCCACCACCGCCGCTGCTGCTGCTTGGGTGGTACCGTCTCGTGTGTGCATGTGCTAGGTACTAGTAGAGCCCAGAGAGAAAGTGCGTAGTGCGAGACGAGCGAAGTGTGGGCGAAGCGTGCTGCATACGCATACTCGGTATACATAACCTGGGCCCGTACTCGATCACTCTCCGACACACACCCGTCGCTCTCTTCAGTCAATCCTCTCGCCTTCCCAGTGTCGTCGTCGCCGTCCAGTCAGTCGAGCCCGTCGAGCCCGTCGTGTCGTGTTGTTGTTGTTGCCGCTGAAGTGTGTGCGTGCGTGTGGTTTTCCGTTGACAAAGACACTCCCCCATCCTCCCCCGAAACAACACCACCTCTATTACCACAGTCCGGAAGCACACCCCCCCTCCACCCCCCTCCCCCACACCCGTTTGGTGAGTGACCCCCGCGCTTTCACTCTCACGCTCGCTTTCCCTCTCTCTCCCTCTCGCCCTCACGGTCTTCTGCCTGTCTCGTTGCCTCACTCTATATCGGCAATGACCGCTCTACCCCCCGCCTTCTACCACGCTCCTTCCCCTCCTTCCATTGTCCTCATCCTCCTCCCGGATCTCAGACAATAGTCCAGCAAACCAAACGTAGTCTCATTGCTTATTATTCCTGAGCAGGCAGCGGAAGAAGAGCAGACCCAACCAACCAGCCAGCCAACTACATCACAACTCACATCACTCTACCGAACCCGCCCGTGATCGGATAACTGAACCGCCGTCGCCGTCCCCATCGTCGCTCCGTCCGAACGATATATTCCGGACACAGTTCTTTCTGCACCTGTAACTCGGCGTGCAATTGCTCTCTAGCTACACGGACAGACAGACAGACAGACGGAAAAGTCAGGGAGCGTGCTGTAGACAGATACACCACGGATTCTCCACCTTCACAGACCACCGTTGCCTGTCCCATCCTCCTCCCCCTCATCCTTCTCCTCCTTCTCCACCTTCTCACACCCCAACACCACCTCCTTCCTCTTCCTTCGCCTTCCTCCGCCCGCTGCCCCTCTGCAGAAGAGGAGTTTGCCTGTTCTACATCCCGTCTCGCTCGCTCTCGTCTCTCCGCCTGACCGCGTCGGAACCAACCCGGTGATTCGAAACCTTGCTGCAAGGCCAAGATTTGAACATCGCCCGTGCACGATCATCCCAACGATCACACTTGCCTCCATCCTGCTGCGTCTTCCATCCAGCCAGAAACGAAACATTCCTATTCCAGTACTGGTGCCGGGTCCCCTGTCGCTTGATTTGTTCATAGCCATCCCCCTCCCCCACCTTTCTGCAACAATCCCGCACACTACAGGTCAGCGCCAGGTTTCTTAAAACATAGTTGTGCCACCGTTGCGCCGACCTCCGCCCGCCGCGTTCAACGCGCCCTCCACCCCCTCCCCCCCGAACACCATCGAATCTCACTACATACCTCCCCTCCACCCACCCACCCTCCTCGACTCCTCCACCTCCACCACCACCACCACCACCACCACCACCCATCCACCCACCACACCGGCTGCTTCATCGGCTGCACCCCCAGGAACACACCGCTTTTGAAAGCTTCCACTGCGACACACAAGTAATATCAGGGAACAAAAGCAAAAAATATATATATACCGAGGTCTCAAATAGTCACCTCCATCGCCTCACCCTCTGAGCAGAGCAGAGAAGAAACCCCCCAAGAAACAGAAGGCATGGCGTTCAATGGGCGTGGGGGAACAACTGCGCAGGCGACTGGGTTGCCATCTGCTGGTGCGACATCAAACAACACCACTCAACACACTCGCCGATTACATCCCTCTTCTCCACAAAAACGGCCAGTTTCCGGGATCTCAACATTACTCTCCAAAGGATCCGGGGAAAGTTCCACCACCGACAATCTGGAGGTCTCTACCGCACAGTCGTATGCTCGGAAAGAGTTGCTCGGCGGCACTTCGTTCGACAATCTTGGGGCACTACCTTCCGCACCCGAAGAGTCACCGGAGGACATGCAAAAAAAAGATCCCCTTGCGACGCAGGTATGGAAGCTATATAGCAAACAAAAAGGGACTCTGCCGAACGCGGAGCGAATGGAAAATCTGACTTGGAGAATGATGGCTTTAACACTTCGAAGAGAACGGTATGTTTTTCATTCTTTCTTTCTTTTTATTTATTTTCCCAGCCCTCCCGACCACCCTGGGGAGGGGGGGGGGCGGATTTAAATTATTTATATGGGACGAGTCCCACGAATGGCGATTGCAGAACGGTGCATGCCTTTTGCGAATTTTGTTGGATTTCGTTTCTGACACCATTATTGCGTTTTTTTAGCGCTGCGAAGGCATCACAACGAAAGCAGGCGCAACGGTCCCTCTCGGATGCGCACACGCATTCACCGTTCCGGATCAACAGCAACTCCAACAACTATACCACAGACAGTGATAGCATGTTTATGGACGACCTCACATTCACATCCCCTTCATCGATGGTTGGCTCTCCCGGCGAAAGCAGTGGACTCGGACACTCCCCCGCAAGCGACAACCACCCCACCTCCTCACACGCCTCCGCTTCCGCGATACCGATCAAGAAGGAACGCGGCGGTTCTTTGATAATGGGTTCGCATGGTGCTCCAGCATCTGCCCCTCAAAATCACTTCGACCTGAGGGAACACGAGGGAGAATTCGGATATGTCCAGCGACGGATACGGAAAACAAGCGTTGATGAGCGAAGGGTAGGCATCTTTTCGCTGTTCCCCCCCTCAACCTCGTCGTTTCTGCGACCGGCGGAAGGGCTTCATCGGTTCTTGACTGACATCTGCGGTGTAATAGCCTCCCAAGCGAAGGGCCGAATGCTCACCGCTTGTTCATCCTATTGCCAGCATCATGATCCCCAACGACCCCGATCCCGAGATGGGCGAGTACACCCTCGATCATGACTCGCACTACTCCACAAATAACCATCACCACTCCTCCCTCTCCTACGGTTTGGACACTTCCAACGACGGAGACCAGTTCCTTACCTCCGCCGGCCCTTTCCAAACCAACTTTTCCTTCTCGCCGATGCAGTCGCCGCTCGTCTCCACCGGTCCATTCTCCAACATGTACCACTCCAACCACAACGATTTCTATTCCCCGCCTCCTTCCGCCAATCACTCGGTTGTCTCGACACCGCACCCTCTTGCCGAGCAGTCTGGTGGTAGCTTCTTCGAATCCGCGAGCATGTCGCAGGGCCGCCCAATTCCGACGTTCGGAGGCAACTCGCGGGCCAGTACCGTTCCCAACAGCTATGCGTCCAACGATTTCTATTACCACCCGCATAACGATCCCCTCCTCAGCGCGAACCAGTCTGCATCGCATTCCGGTTTACCCTCGCCAGGTTTTGGTGGGTTCCAGCACGTAAATCCATCGCAGGTACTGCGCGACGACTTTGGTGTGGCAAAATCTCCTGGTTCTACAGGCGGTCCGTTTAACTTTGGCGCGGATTCGGATGAAGACATAGACAGGGAAGGGTTCGATCGGATGCAGATACAGGCAGATTACACCTCTCTGGACGATCCCTCCCCCATGGATATTCACCCGGGTATGCAGTCCTCACTGGGCAGTGGTGGGTGGGGTCGGGAATCGAGTGGACAATTCGCGAACCGATTCTCGCAGCAAAAGACTGTAAGGATAGGCGGTACAACTGAAGCTCACTCGCCACAAGACTGGAATAATGGACCCACAGGTGGAGGTCACCACAGCAGGTCGCATTCAATTAGCACCTCAGTCAGCGATGTACGGAATCGCGCGCCCGATCCAAATGGCTTCCGGCGACAGAAAATTGCGCGAACCACCTCTACGACTCAGTTGGCAATGCAACGCGGCATGCAGTCGGGTCCTAACTCACCACCCGATAATGGCTTCAGCTCTGCCGAGCCTTCGCGACCACCGTCGCCAGATATTACGAAGGGCAGCAACGCGGCCAGTGGCGCGAACGGGAATGGTATGCCAACCACATGTACCAACTGCTTCACACAGACGACACCGCTGTGGCGAAGGAATCCCGAGGGTCACCCATTGTGCAACGCTTGCGGATTATTTTTGAAGCTCCACGGTGTTGTGCGACCGCTTTCCCTCAAGACCGACGTTATCAAGAAACGTAATAGAGGAAGTGGAAACTCGGTGCCAGTTTCGGGTACTTCGACGCGAGCTGCGAAGAAGACCATCCGGAAAAATTCGATAGCGTCGAACGCAACGACAACGCCGACGTCGGCGCAATCAAAGAGCCTCGCCGGATCCGAGTCGCCACCGTCAGGGTTGTCGTCGTCAGCCAGCACCCCTACCAACGGTAACATGGTGGCGCCCGGAAAGAACTCGGTGATTCCGATTGCCGCTGCTCCTCCAAAGGGTTCAGGTATGAACCGACCGATTGCGGTCGCGCCGAAACGGCAGCGACGACTTTCGAAGAGCCAGAATGGGCACATTCAGGAGGAGGAGGATGATGACGACGGAATGATGCAGCAATCCACATCTTCTATTGTCCATTCCACGACTCACCACACACCGATCGCCCCTGCAGTTAATCCGACATCGGGCACGCAGGAATGGGAGTGGCTCACAATGTCACTTTAAATTCTGTGACCACTGCATGGAACGACGGTTTTATTGTTTTTGATTTTTTTGATTTATCGCTTGCTTTCTTGCGGCGTTTTGTGGTAAAGCGGTGGGGGTTTTCTGTTGTGCACTTGAGTACGAGACAGTGCCTTTATTCATCTTTGCTTTGCGTACAGCACGGTGGGGTTTGGTTTTTGTTATTTTATACTTTTGCTTTCCTTCAGGTTTTTCTACGGCGTGAATTGAGTGGGGCTTTTTTGTCTTGTCTTTTTCCACTGGGGTTCTTTGTGGGTTTGCTTGCTATGTTCCCGATCGTATTTGCGACGGGTAGACATGTCCTAGTTACGTGCATACGAGCTGGTAATGCGCTGATGAGCTGTGGTTGGGCGGGGTGGGGGGAAGGGCGGTCGGGGGCTGGTGGAAAGGCGGGCGGACGAGGGTTGGTGGAAAGGCGGGCGGGCGGGCATAGGACCGGTGGAGGAGATGGGTGGAGGAGGAGATGGGATGGGAAGGATGGATCGACGGGTGATGGGTGATGGACGGGGTTCGTGGGCGGGATTACTAGGACACCTCTGTATATTCTCCGAGAGCGCGCGTTTCCTACTTCTACTTTGGGGTTTTTCTTTCATCTTTTGTTTTGTTCTGGATGGGATCATGTCTTTTCTTCTTCTTCTCGCTTCACTTCCCTATTCTTTCCCGGGAATTTTTTGGTTGGGGCTTTCCTTCTCTCGTTCCAATTTTGTAGTTAGAGTAGCCCTTTTTTACTCTATTTTTTTCTCTTCGGTTTTTTTACTTCGGTTGAAATTACTTTTGGCTTGATCTTGCTTCTGTTTCTGTTTCTGTTTCTCGTTTCTCGTTTCTGTTTCTCGATAACTCCATAGATGTGAGATGATGGCTGGTCTACTTACCTATTGTGTGTGTGTGGGAGTGGGAGTGAGTGTGGGGAGGGGTTAATCAGGTTTTATTCTGCTTCTGCATCCGTTCGATGCTGCTGCTGCCTGCAAGTTCCATCTACATCTACTGTGTGGCTGCCTGGCTTGAACACGCTTTTCCGTGTTTCCATTTCTGTTTCTGTATTTTTCTGCAGCCGTTTCCGTTCCGGCGAGTTCTTACTGTTCTTGTTCTTGCTGTTGTTCGCACAGAAATAAAGTCGAATATTATACACAAAATGTCACTCGAAAAAGTGGCCGGATCCTCCGGCCGGTTAAAGGAACAGACAACGGGGGAGGGGGGGGGGGGGTGATCAGCACCCTCTATGTGTGGATGTATGTGCGCCACCGGGGTTTAGATCGGGACCCGGGTCTGCTCCTGGCTCCTGAAGATCTCCTCCCCCTCCATCCCCTCCCCTCGTCTCGTCGATGACAGTGGTGGTGGTGGGGGGGGGGGGGTGTATGTGTGCAGAGTAGTGTAGTGTAGTGGATGTGCCATGTGGTCGCCGAAGTGTAGTGTAGTGTACCTAGCGTACGTGCGCCGGCCGTCTAGCCGGCCACGGGCGGAAAAATGTACCGTACCGTCCTCCAGATACCTCTCCATCACCACCACCACCACAGCCGCCGCCGCCATCGAGTAGGAACAGTCTACAGAGGTGGTTTGCGTGCAATTGGTGGCTGAGCGAATTTCGTTCTACTCTATGTCTACGTATATACCACGCTATGTACATAGAGTAGCTAGAGTAGCCACTAGTAGCTGCGTGGCGCTCGCTACGGGTTCTCTAGCTCCTCCTGCTGCTGCTGCTGGGGGGCTGTGGCGCTGGCTGGCCTGGAGCATGCGTAACTTCCGGCCTGAGGGTTTTTCCGGCCCGCAGGCAGGGCTGATGGTTAGTTTTTGTGGTTGTTGTGGTTGTTATTCTAAGCTGTGGTTGTTGTGGTGGTGGTTGTGGTGGTTGTTGTGAAGTGAGGACGCAGGCGGTGACGAATGCGGCGGGTGCTGGTGCTGGTGCTAGCTAGAGTAGTGGAGGCGGAGGTGGATTTGGGGCGTTCGGGGGCGAAGGTTGAAGGGTGGAGCAGGAGCAGGAGTAGGAGCGATGGAACGTGGGGGGATGGATGGGGAGGGGGCGAGTCGGTAAATTACCATTGAGGTTTTTTTGGTTTGATTTTTGCTGCCGCCGCTTTTGGGGATTTAATTCGGTTTTTGTCGACCTTGGGCCAAGTGCCGCCCCCCGGGACCACTCGGATTTTCCGTGGCAAAGGTATGCTAGACTCCCCGCTGCTTACTCCGTGCTTACGACTGCGACTGCAACTGCGACTGCGAGCTGGGTCGCCCGCCCGCTCCGGGGGGAATACATGCCACCCCCCGTCCACAGTCCCGCCTCTCTGTCGCGTTCGTTCGCTTGCCTGTTCGCTCGCTCGCTCGTTCGTTCGTTTGTAGTATATACCGGTACATACAAGGCGCCGATGCCGGGGCTGGCCCCAAGTTCAAACACTTTATAGTATGTACTTCTCTACTGTACTCAGCTCAGAAGGTACTTCGGTACTTCCATTGGTACCAACTTACTCGCCACTATGGGCGGGGCTGCGACTACCGCATTCATCCATTGTGCCTTCGGCGCGGCTGGCCGGTTAATCCGTAAGAGCCGAGTGAGAATGTAGGTGGTAGAGTAGGCACTCTACTATACAAGCATGCGAGGAAGGAAGAAGGAAGAAGGAAGGAGAGCATGGCATGGCAAACGCCGCGTTGCTGCGTCGCCGTTGCCGGCACCGTGGCTTTTTGGCCCTGGAGTCTTGGGTCTGTAATTGAGTCTGTAATTGAGCCGAGTGTTTAGGTACATACATACCTATACGGGAGATCCCTTTGGGCCGTGGAATATGCGCGGCTACATATGGCGTGATGTTTCCTGAAGCCGGGGCCGGGGCTGGCTGACTGCCTGGCTGGGGAGGAGAGAAATTTTGGAGCTGCACACTTGTCCCAAGGGCTTCGGCATTGTGGTAGTGGCGGTGGTGGTTCTCACTGTTGGGTGGGGGCTTTCTCGGCGCTGTTAGTGTATTATCACCGGCAGAGTACCGTAGCGGGAGTGGAGTTTGCGAGGGATCCGGATGGTTTCGTCGGGTCCGTGAGATCCTTGCTCGTTCGGTTCGCGAGGCGGAGTGGGGGCTCATGAAGCGTCATTCGACGTCTCGACGTCGCGGACGGGGAGAGCTAGGTTACAAGGGGTGGGGCCGGGGGGAGGGGGCGGGGCAGGAGCCGGGGACTCGATGCCGAAGTGACGTCTCCGAGTCTGAGAGCGGGAGGTAATGGTTCGCCCCGAAGTTCGAACTGCAGTCTGTGCGGGTATCGGCGGACCACTACCGCCTGCTCGGCTCGGAGGCCGAGGCTGGAACGGCTTTGGAGCTGCGGAATCCACTGCGGGATACCGAGAGAGAGAGCTTCCTGTTTTATTTCGCATGTAGCCTATCTAGACTATGGCGAAACGGGATATCGATAAGTGGCGCTGACCGACTCGGCCGTGAGAGCAGTGAGTGATGGCCAGTGTAACTATCGCCCCTGGATACCTACTAAAGTGGTCTTGACGTCTTTTGATAGGGCCACTACCCAGCCACCCCGCGGGAGGGTTCTGACGGCCCATCCTCGGGGAAGCAGCCCCTACATAGACTGTAGACTGTAGACACCCATCGCTGTTCCTGGGCCCCGAGCCGATGTATCCTCCAGGCGAGGCTCGCCGCTCTATTTGAGCCGGCAGCGGCAGCAGATGTCATGCCCCGACTCCGAGAGGGAAGCGAGAGCAGCAAAGCCAGAGGGGACACTTGAGAGGAGGGCAAGTGAGACTGAGAGGAGACGAGAGGGTGGTGGCGGCAGCAGTACTGAACTGGAGAGAAGGGTACCTAGATGGGAGGGGTAGATCCGGCGCGACTTCGAGAGTGTCGCGCGTTGATCTGTTTCCTTAGTCAACATACCTACACGATAGGTACACTTGTCCGAGCCCAGGCGGAGGGCGCTGCGTGGGAGACGGGGGTTGCCACACCGAGCCAGTAATCTGGACCGTGGACAGGAAACGAATAAAACGCACGCCGCTATCCCATGGATCGTAAGTTTAGACTTGGAGTTTTAAAATGACTACGCAAATCTACTCAACCCGGCATATCTCGAAAATTAGGCCATATAAGCCCAGAGAATTTGTGATGGGGGTTGCTCTTCCACCTCCGGGCTGCAATGTGGTGAGATCTTGAAGTTTCTACCTTTATGGTTGGTTGTGTAAATGAGACGAGGCATGAGGGACTCTCGCGTTCCGGTGAGCCAAAATTTCAGACAAAAAGCTGGTTGGTTCAGCACAACAACCGTCTTCTACGTCATGTAACCTCAGAGAGCAAAGATATGGTAGTAGAAGCCATCCAGCGTCACTAGCTTGTCAAAAGACAAAGCACGGATGAAAACATACAGTGACACAGGATGTCACTCGCTAGCCGCCCGACATTCACACAAATCACACCCCGCCGTCCCAAAACCAAACAGATGGCGAGCTCAATAGGTAGCGCTGTGGGAGAAGATCAAAAAAGTGACCGGAAAGGAGAAGAGGAAATGGAGCATGGCAGACCTGTTTGAAAATGAGCGCTGCTCGGAAGCAGTACTAGAATACCTGAGGACGACGGACGAGGGGAAGAAAATCCCAACAATGGAGGAGGCCGGCGCCGGAGAGGGGAGTGACGCATCTGGAGCCGAACAGGAGTGCTCGGCAGGGTTTTGCATTTGCGGAGGGTGCGGATAATGAGTGTGAGCATGGTTTTTCTTTGTAAAAATTGGTTGGTAAGCAGCGGCGCAGCAACGGGCCGTAGAGGAGGAGGAAGCTTCCGAGGGATGCGACGGCGTGGGTTGAGGACTCGCGGAGGGGGAGGGGTATGGGCGAGCCCAGGGAGCGGACGGTGTTTTTTTCTTAATGTTTTTTTTTGGTGAGGATACGGATTAATATGGGTGGATGTGGGAGGATGCGGATTGATATGGGAGGATATGGATTCATATGGATTAATATGGGAGGATATGAGTGGATGTGGGAGGATATGGGAAAATGCGGATTGATATGGGTGGATATGGATTGATATGGTATTCATGAGCGGATATGGTATTCATGGGTGGATATGATTTGATATGGATTGATATGGATTGATATGGGAGGATATGAGTAGATATGGGAGGATATGGGAAAATGGGGATTGATATGGGAGGATATGGATTGATATGGGTGGATATAGATTGATATGGTATTTATGGATTGATGTGGGAGGATACGGATTGATATGGTATTTATGGATTGATATGGGAGGATATGGGCGGATATGGTAATTATGGGTTGATATGGCTGGATATGAATTGATATGGAATTTGTGGGTAGATATAGGAGGATTTGGATTGATATGGATTGATATAGTATTCATGGGCGGATATGGGAGGATATGGGGGAGAGTCTAGTGCGTGAGGAAAGTTAAAGTTGAGAAGTGCGGCGAGACCAAATGGCGAGTGATAGGTTTGGCCGGTGCAGGTATGAGGCTCGAATACCACAAATTAGCTTTGACCTCAAAATCATTTTCTTCCTTTCCTCTACATACCACCTTCATCACAGCCAGAGACAGCCAAGATTCCACGATAACAAAAATTCTCTGAAACTCCAACAGCTACCATGACCTCGACCCCTCAACCTACAATATCAGATGATCTACTCATCCGTCGACAACAGCCTCCAAGACCGAAACGATCTTGCCCGTATCTAGTAAGTCCTCAAGGAGAAGTATAATACGCCTGCATCACGTTCCGGCCGCATCTACAGGCTCCGATACTTCCACACCCCCGTTATGAAGGAAGATACCTCTGTCACCGTTTACATTCCCAGACTCATCGATATCCGTCAAGAACTGGCTGGATCTGATGAAGAGCCTCTCGGTTATCAAGATGTCGACACGATTACCACCGCGCTAATAGAGCACGAAATGTCGATTGTACTACGGAACGCCCAAGTCGGTGCAAGCCCCAACAGAGCCAACGCGAGTGGCACCCTCAGCCAGTATCACATCGGGGACCCCTACATCCGCAAGCGGCACCCTCGACCAGTACCTTGTCGGCGAGCACTTCGAGGCCCACATCCAGAAACCAATGGAAACGGTTTGCTCGATATGCATCATGGCAAAAGGCAAGCCGATGAGATATCGCATGCGAGCACCCCACGGTCGGCACAGATGTGCGCGTACTCATGGAAGGCATGCCGATGAGATTTCGGATGCTAGGGCAATGGAGCGCCAATCCGAGAGATACGATCTCCTCGGAACAGACCGAGAGCGGTCGGCCATCGGATCTGGGTGGAAGAGGATTCTTTGGCAAATCCGGTGTTCTACCGGAAAGGCATTGCGCACCCGATGATCGGCCTAAACTGGCCTGATGCAATGATGCTCGGCCTGAGTGGTCTGATGCAGTGAAGCTCGGCCCGAGGAGGTCTAATGCAGTGATGCTCTACTGGAAGCAGTCTGATGCGGTTGACGAGAACTCCGGCTCTGGCCGAGAACTCTACATGGGACTATGTTCAGCCAGAAGACAGTCCGGCCAGTGTCATTCCCATCAGTTCCAAATGGGTCTTCAAGACCAAGGAACTTCACGGAGGTGGGATAAGATACATCGCAAGGCTTGTCATCCGTGGCTTTTGAGCAGCAAGCAGGCATCACTTTGGATGAGACCTTTGCTTCGGTGGAAAGCCTGCGAATGCTGCCACTCGCGCTGGCCGCCCACCCGTAACCGGGAAGTGGATCAGATGGACGTCGCCACTGTTTTTCTGCAAACTCTGAAAGTCTTTGTATGGATTGAAGCAAGCTCCCCGCCTTTGGTATCAGCATATTGACGAGTTCCTCAGATCTCTTGGCCATTGCCGGTACGAGTATTATGACCCGAATGTCTATATTAGTTTTCAAGACGATGCACCACCGATAATCCTACTCCCATACGACGACGATATCGGATGCTTCCTCAGAATTGAAATTGAGTGAGACCGGCCAGACCGAACCCGATGCATCCCACAGCGTGCTACCTAGAAGCTCTTGGCAACCTATGGCCTCTCCAACTATAATGTTCACCGGACTCCACAGCCCACCGGAAGCATATCCATGGCATAGGCCTCAGGTGTTGGTGCTAGTCGGAATACAGGGGAAGTGGATTCGGTGGAAGCTCCTGCCAGTGAAGCACGTGGCAAGTGTTTGGAATGTGCTTCTTCTTTTCGTATTTTCATCTCGTTGGAGGATGCACTCTTTCTCCTATGTCCGTGGTTTTACCATGAGGTTTTTTACACGGTTAAGAGTTTTAACGAGGCATCCGAAGATTCTGGTTACTTCATGACAAGCTTGCTTTTCTGTCCAATGATTTATTGGGACTATTGTTTTTTCATTGTTCCTATCTATTCTTGCCGCTCCTCCTTCTCCGTTCGAGGGGAAGTGTCAAACTTTGGACGCCCGGAGATTTTGGCACGAATAAGGTTCTGCGACGGGCGGTCGAGACCCAGTGCTGTCGGGGGCGAGGAACCGCAGGGTTGGTTAGTCTGGATCATGGAAAGCACTCGGACACGACCGAACTGAGTACCGGTATCGTAATAATTCGGTTCCACTCCGTCCACTTTCCGCAGTGGGACCATTCTTTCAAGAGAAGTATTTGATGGAACATCAAGTATTGGGGGCACCGATACTTCATAGCCGTCGCCGTGGCTGAGGACTATGAATCATGGACACGGGAAGCAGCCAGTGTTCTCCATCGTCCGGTCCGTCCGTCCTGGGCCTCGGACGAGGACGGACGGCGTGCCTCCCGTCCGTCCGAGCCTGGGACGCGACAGCCAAAGTTTTCTCAGCGGACGGCCTTCCACGGCCGTCCGGCAAGCCTTGGGTAACAACCTGATTTCGGGCGTGCACCTTGGATGGCCGAGTGAGAATACTACTACTTTTCACAGATTGTGGAGCGGTGAGGGATGAACTGGCGCGGTGGTGTGTAGGATATCGATGCTAAGAAATCAGCAATCAGCCGAATCATATTCACGTGACTTGGACGGTCGTCCTCCACCGTCGGACGGGGACCGGCCCGTCTGTCCCAGGCTCGGACCTTCCGGAATTTTGGCCGTTCGGACCGGACGATGGAGGACACTGGAAGCAGCCGTGGATCGAGAGTGCCGACTGTAGTCGATTAAGAAGCCGATGTCGTTCTCTCGCACAGCGGCCAGAGCAACAACATTTGGCCAATGGCGCATGCATCTCACTCATGCAAGGCCAGGAGGTAAGACCTTTGCGCTGAAAGGAAGACGACCTCCGCGCATAACATGGGGGGGGTAGTAAACCACGTTATACGCGTATAAATTGGGGCGGTAGTAGACCAAGTTATACTTCTTTGGTTTTTTATTTGCTCGTCCGAAACCGTCTGTAGCCCGGTTTCGGAGAGGCCATCCACCGGGAGCAAGTCGGCTCTCACCCGACTTGGACCCCCGGAGGAAGGGGGAAAGAACTTCGCCGGCAGCAGAAGAGAAAACCCCATCCTTGGACCTTTTCTGCTCAGCCTCGAGAGTTGGATCCGTCTATTGTTGCTGCAACAGTCTACTTTGTAGACCGGTTGCACGGATCCCTCAGTTCCTCGCTGCTACAGCTGAGCAGGATAGCCCTGTAAGGTTATCCTGGAAGTAAAAGTGGGAAGGGAGAGGACTTACCTTGAGGTTTGATCTCGAGATCAGGTGGAAGGGAAGAAGGAAGGAAGGGAGGAAGGGAGGAAGGTGAATGAAGGAAGGAAGGCGAACTTTGGTCGACGAAGAAAAGAAGCTGTGATGGCTGTAAAGGGAAGGAGAGAATGAGGAGCAGAAGGGGGGAGGTGGTTTTTGTAGGTGATTTAGGAGCCGCCAGGTTCCAAGCTGGTTTTCGCCGCCGCCAGACGGCTAGGCCCCACCAAAACTTGCTCATCAGATGGAACTAGCGAGCAAACGTGACGCCAATCGTCGAAGTCCCGCCAAACCGCTAGACCCCACCAAAACGTACCAGATAAATGAGTGAGCAAACGTGATGCGCCACTCGCTAGGGAGCGGCCGAACTAATCACTGCCACGGCTCATAACCGCCCACTGCAAGTGCTCGTACACAAATTCACTGTCGTTCTCTCGCGCAGCGGCCAGAGCAGCAACACTTCGCAGCTATGATCTGCGACGAGGAGCTGGCAGGGACATGGGACGCAGCCGTGGATGAGTGTGTAGTCCATTAAGCCGATATCATCCTCTCGCACAGCGGCCAGAGCAACGATATTTGACTTCAGTCATTTCCCTCACCAATGATCAGGAGGAAAGACCTTCGACTTCCCCCAGCAAAGGATCAAACCCTCCGCGTATTATACCTCTAATATGGTTTAAGATACCATTATTACTCGATTTGTCTCTTAGCCAGCTTGCTGGAATCCCCTGGTATCACTCGTTCCAAGTGGACTACCACCCTAATGGTCCCCCGTCCTGCGCGAATGAAGCTCGGGGCAGGGGCGTCTAGATTACTCTATGTGACCGTCTTCATTGGTGGAAACAGGGACACCGGGCTGTAGAAGGCACGCACACTAAAGAATGGCGCAGTGGAGTCGCGGCGGGACGAGGAGCGGGCACGTAGGTAAATATGTAGGCCCGTTTCGGTCTTTACGAGTGTATCCATCTTTTTGCTTGCGACGACGACTCAGGGGGCCGCTTCCACGGGCTTGTCAGCAGGACGGCGGAAAGGAGAGAGAGAGAGAGAGAGAGAATCAATTTAGCGTTGCATACGGCGTGTCTAAACCCCGGTGACCTCCATTCCGACCTTTCCTCCCGGCTTCCCGGGGTAGGGAGAGAGCCCCAGACGGCAGACAGGATAGTACCCGGTTGAAATATGCCATGGTTAGATGTGTCGAATGCATTATGATGAACAAGTGACAGAAACTGCAGATCGCCCGACGTCGCACGGACTATCTATATATCGGAGTATCAGTGTGCCCGAGGACGGATAGACGGCTTCCATCCACAGGAGACGACGTGATCACAGCATACAAACCCGGCGAATAACCCCAGGCACATACTCATGATCCAGCATTTTCCAGCGCTGCCACCTTCTTATCGGGGAACTTTGGTTTATAACTCCGCGTCGCCGTACCCCGCGATTAGTGATCGCTCGCCCAACGAATAGAGTGCGAAAGCACCGACCTCCGTGATACTGCTGCAGCGGGGATCCTGCGGGAGTCGTCCCGTACGCACGCACCCTGTTCATGTCGGTTGCACGGAAATCAACACTTTCCTGCTTCATGCGGAATTCCTTCTCGCCTGCAACCGTGTGTATGTGGAGAGATGTGTTTTTTGTCTATCGGCTCGCTGGTTGGATGGGTGGAAATAGATCATGTAGAATTCGATTCTAATTCCTCCTGCTTCTCTTCCACCGGTGCAACATCTTCCGCCAGCGGTACAGCCGGCTTGACGCTGCCCCTCCTCGCGCTCTCCATCAAGCTCCCGATCCCCAAGCTGCCTCTCCTCCCGATCCCACTCCCGAGCTCACTCGACATAATCCCACCGCGCCTCTGCCCTCTATTCGCCTCGAAGACGTATCCGCCTCCCTCACGGGGGGTATCACTGCTGCCGCCAGACGATTTGTACCCAGTGTCCTTGATGATCCTGTACAGAACCGGAGCATTGGCGACGATGCACGAGGCTAGGATTTCGAAATTCGCAAACTGCGTGCCACAATCACCACCGATCAACTGGGAGTTCGACCGCGTAGGCGGAACTTGGAAGGGAGAGGGGATTAAATACCAATGTCCGCCACTGCTGCAGCGCCTGGTTCCGCACCACGAAGGGTAGCCGGATGATGGTGATGATCATGACGAAGACGCCAAGGGAGAAGAGCGTGGCGATCTGGATCTTGGTGCGTAGCGGTAGGTTGAGACGTAGGATTATGGGAAGGATGAAGCCTAGTAGCAGCAGGTCGGTTGTGAGGTTGCAGGCGCCGGTCGTGTAGAGTTGTATCTCGGAGGTGGTGCAATGGTCTTGGGAGGGGATATTAGAGTGGTGGAATGGATGGGAAAGGGACGAGGCGGAACTTACGGCTGGGTGAAGGGAGGACTTGCCCTGATATTTCCTACGTATCAGTGATATCCACTCTGGTTGGGATCGCTGGCTGGGGAAAGTAAGTACTCACAGTATCTACGATCATCAGTTAGCCCACGCTCACGCACACTCTTGCTGGAAGGAGCACCTACCGTCGAAACGGCCTACACTCCAAAAACGTACTCAAGATAGCAGCCACAAATGTTGCGGCCAACACTACCCACAGCGGCTTGATGAACCTCTCATACTGCCTCAATTGCACCACAATCCTGCCATAAAACGCGAGCACGCAGAATTTCATGCACCAAATGAAGACGGCATAGCACGCTGCCCATCGCCATCAGCCCTCCACATCACCATCGCAGAATAAGAAGCAGGGAGATGATGCTCACCCCGCACAACAATGACAATTTTGCTCCCAAACTCCCGCCTCCCGATTTCCCCCTCGGACATGACCTCCTGGCCACTCCCAAAGTTGTTGGTGCGATTATTGAGCACTATCGGCGTAGCCACCGCGCGGACGATGAGGACGCAAAGCGCAAAAGCCATCCAGTAGTCGTCTGTCCGCCATCGGTGGGTCCGTGTATATGTTGCGAACAGGCGCAGGGGCATCAACAAGAAGCAGATGGCGTAGACGACGTAGGCCACAACGAGGGTTGTCGTGTCGGCTAGCATCTCATCGGTGGCATGGCAGTAGGTAGAGGCCTGGAGCCATGGTACTGGGTACTAGTATATATATCAGTGGGAAACTGCGCTGAACATAAGCATACCGCCCGCTTACGGGGGAATATGAGTGCACGGTGAGTGGGAGGACTGATCGGTCAACTGGTATGACTGGACGGAGCTTGTCCTGCGAGATTGATTGGTGTTGACTGTTGAGTAAACATGCACAGCACTCGGCATGGAATGTAACCAAGTACCGTAGTTGCTCGTCATAGAGTGAATGTGCAACTGGAAACCCTAAACGAACCACGGCGTCATGTCTGCATCGAAAACTACCGGCCGATTGCTAGATCAATATGCCGCCGCTGTAGGCGATTTCTTATTACATGCCTTCCTGGGATGAGGTTAACGCCGATCTTCCGCTCAGGCGAGTACCTACTCTAGAGTAGATGGCCTTTGTTCGGTCCGCCAGGACTGTCTCCGCCGGAGGGTAAATGAGAACATCACTATCAACCGGGATTCAATTCATGAGTAACCACGGAAAGAAGAAGCGAGGCATCAGAGTAATCAATCATGATAATTCACCGCCTCCATAATAGCCATAGCCACCCACCGCCACGTCCTGCTTCCACATTATTCCACCTCCGCCTCAAACCCCACTACCATCCTGAAAGATCGTCACATTCGTCCTGTAATCCCTCCAGGTCATGCAAGTATCCTCGAGCTGCTGCGGGTTCCTAATGGTCTTCCTGATCTCACCTTGACGCTCCAGCAGCTGCAGTGCCAGCCCCGAGGAGGCGTGCCAAGCGATGTGGCAGTGCATCAGCCATACACCGGCTGCAACGGGTTGGTTAGCATAAGAAGACGTGTTTGCAGCGGAGGGCGGAGTTATGTACGGTTATCAGTGCGGAACGCGATCCCGAGATAACCATCCGCGTCGAGGAGGGCGACATCGCGGCGGACAGGATTATTGAGGTTTAGCGTCGGCCGGGGGTCTATGGTGTCCCATTCGCCTTTACCTTGAGCGAGGATTGCAAAGTCGTGGCCATGCAGCTGGAGATGTTAGCTGTGGCTCTTGGGGGGGAAGCGGTGGTATAATGATGACGAATGCTTACATGAATTGGGTGTGCTACGGTAATGTGACCTGACCTGGGGAATATTCCTACATACATAACCTCGGGTCAGTGTGTCTTCCAACACCCCCGGATCCCATTTACATATGTACATACCTTGAATGATGAAATACACCCATTGCCAGCTATCATGATCCTCCACGATAACGTCATACTCTGGATTCCACGTGCGATTATCGAGGTTTATAATCGCCGGATTCCCCCAATCCAGCCACAGCGGTTTGCCACCTACCTGCTAGCGAGTGAAGTTCCCATGGTCCGGCTCTTTAACTATTGCCACATCTAGTGATTGGGTGTCCGCGGGTCTGCTACCGACTGTCCATGGAACTATTGGATGCATATTCTCCGCAGGCTCGTCTGGACATTCGGATAGGATGCCGCCTTGCCAGGGCTTAGAGGTAGGGTTGGATGTGGAGCGTGAGTTATACCGCAGGATGCCGTAGGTTGGAAAGATATCCGGAGCAATTTGGCCGCATCCTTTGAGCGGGACGGTGCGGATCCAGAAGTTGTTGTTGGAGGGGGCTATTGGAAAGGGGTCGGTGGAGTTGGGGTTTGCAGTGACCACGATGGTGTAGCGTTGACCTATCTTCTCAGACAATTCTACTACAGCCATCAGGAAGGAAAGAAAACTCACCGATACCAGCGGATATGTACTCCGTCAGATAAGGCTCAATGGGGACGAAATCAGCCTGGACAACCTGTAGCATGTGATTATCGATGGCGAGGCGGAACTGGGTGGCCGTGGAGGTGTTTACAATACGCAGCAGGTATTTCTTTCACTTCTTGAAGACGGTTTCGTAGCGGGAGCCAGAGCGGCCGGAGTCGTCGGAACAGCCCTTGCTTGGGTCCGTTTCACTCCCGAAGCAAAAGAAGATTGCTGTTCTAGTGAGCAGAAGGTGGTAGACTTCGAGAAGCAGACAAACCTTTGCCGTTGAGCATCGTTGCGTTTACTACTTTGTCCGTAAGACTCAACAATTCCCCGGTCTGGCAGACGAAAAGGTGGGTATGTGGATACCAAGGCGACGGAACGTGCCTTACACTGAAGAGTAAGAATGCACTTTCGTGAAAGTAATCCGAAATCGTGATCACGCCGACGTCGATATCCCAATTCGCACTCGTCGGACCATGGATCAAAAGCGGGCCTGCAACTATCAGTACATACGTGTAACTTTCTCACGGCGGAGTACCTCATCCCAGACGCCATCCGGATACTGCAGGGAGTAATGGCTTCCAATCCATCAGCTGCACGCAAGCACTCAACGAGCGAGTCCAACCAACCTATGATACCAACTGTGACCATACTGCGTCGCCTGCCACTCATACGTATATGAGTCCCCCGGCTTGATAGGACACTGAGTAACGCCATTGACGCCATCCGCCTCGCTGGTCAATCACTGCCTGATTCCATGCCAGTGAATAGTAGTGCCATTATCTTCCAAGTATCCAGGTGCCGAGAGGTAGTTCGTGACATGAATCACTAATTCCCCCGCACTTAGCATTCCAAAGATGATGGAAAGACAAACAGACAAGATACAAACCAAGTTTGTCCCCCCAATTAACCTCAATCAACGGCCCCGGAAAAGTCCCATTAACCAACTTTCCGATCCTGGTCACCCCATCGGGTGCCATTTCCGTGTAGGTTACGTTGAGCCAGTACTATCATCGGCCCGCATCAGCAGCAATCTATACACTCCCCCATAGGGAAACCCGGAAACCCCACCTCTCTCGTAACCCCCTGCGGCCACCGCTGTTCATAATCCGTAGTGATGAGGAAATCCTCCGCAGGCCCACCGCCTTGAAGCCAGAACCCCCTATTCTTGGGGGAGTTACAGAACGTGAGTCCCGCGGAGCCCGACTAGTCGTGCGCGAGGGGTTCGACATGGTGTGTCGAGGGAGCGTTGATGATGGGAAGCTGGAGGTGGCCGCCGCTCCCCGACCCCCAGTCGAGGCCGAGGGTAAGACTTATGGCACTGGTGAGGGACTGTAGGAATCCCATTGCGAGTGTTTCCCACGGATGGATCTTCTTCGTCGAATTGGGGGGAACAGCGGCCCATTATCATCAATTTGGATATCACGGAGGCGCTTCGGCTCGAGAAAAGACGTACGGACGTACGTACGTGTGAGTGCTTTCAGCTTAAACCGAATTGCGGGAATCAAGAGATTCAGCTGCGCAAAATTCCAGCCGCATTCTTATTACTACACAATTCGGGTATGTATCCGAGTATCTCTGCCCTATCAAGTTGGATTATTGCGGGTCTAGCGGCAGTACCCGTGGTGCATTGCCCCACACTTATCCGTAGGGCTGAGGGGCGCTACCGCCTACACACGGGATCCATTGGCGAGTTATGTGTTACATACCGGATGCACACGAGATTGTAGGACTTTCCGAACTTGAGCTGGACAGTTCGAGGAACGGTGAAGGCGGGCCTGGGTGTTCGCCTACTACCTCCCCTTTTCACGATTTCAAAGCAACAAAATGGAAGAAATATTTGGAGAGTAGAGTTTGCAAGCCGTAGCCCACGATCGCGCAAGACACATTCTACCATGCATCTAACCCATCCATCTATTTCCGACATCGCCATTCCTCCCAGCCAGCTACACCATAGATCATAGAACATAGATCGTTTCGTAAACAAAAGAATGATATAGTACAGATTAACCCCAGCCCAACCCAGTCCAGTAGTGTCCGGTCCCAAAAAAAAAACGAAAGAAAAAGAAACACGCCGTTTTTCCACACATCGATCGATTACTTCTTATTCTTCAGCTTCTCCGCCTGGTCCTTCTCGTGCTTCGCGATGAGCTCCTTCTGCATCTGCGGTGGTGCCTGCGAGTAGTGGCTGAACTCCATGGTGAACTCTCCCTTGCCCTGGGTGGCAGCTCTCAGCTGCGACGAGAACCCAAACATGGCGTTGAGCGAGCACGCGGCCGTGAGGGTGAACTCGTCAACTCCGATATCGGACTCCTCGATGACAGCGTTACGCTTGTTCATCAGGCCAACGATGGCTCCCTGGAACTCGTTGGGAGCCGAGATGGCGACCTTCATGAGCGGCTCCAAGACCATGGGCTTAGCGGCCAAGAAGGCCTTGCGGAACGCCTGCTGAGTGGCGATTTTGAATGCCATTTCCGAGGAATCGGTCATATGTGTGGCTCCGTCGTTGATCACCATGGATGTACCCAAGACCCTGTGGCCGAGCAAGGGTCCCTTCTCGGTTGCCGCAATGAATCCCTTTTCACAAGCGAACAGGAACTTCTCAGAGATAGAACCTCCGGTGATCTGCTGCTCAAACTTGTTCTCCTTGATTTCACCGGTAGGCTCCATCCATCCAACGACTCGGGCGTAATCTCCGGCACCTCCGGTCTGCTTCTTGAGAGTGTGGTCGAAGGGAATACGCTCCGCGATGGTCTCACGGTAGGCGACCTGGGGTTGACCGGTAATACAGTCGACGTTATATTCACGGCGCATGCGCTCGACGTAAATATCAAGATGGAGCTCTCCCATGCCGCTGATGATGGTCTCCTGCGACTCGGTGTCGACATGAACACGGAAAGTAGGGTCCTCACGCTGGAAGCGGTTCATTGCCTTGGAGAAGTTGGCACTCTCCTTGTTGTTCTTTGGTTTGATTGAGAGCGAGATAACCGGTTCGGGGACGAACATGGAGCTCATGGAGTAGGGGAGGTTTCCGTCGGTGAAAGTGTCACCGGAGGAGCACTCGACACCGAAGACGGCGCAAATTTCTCCGGCACCAATCTCCTGCACATCCTCCATCTCGTTGGAGTGCATACGCACAATCCTAGGAACCTTGACCTTCTTTCCGGTCTTCGCATTGTACACGTTCATACCCCTCTTCAGGGTACCCTGGTACACACGGATGTAGGTCAACTGTCCGTAGTTTCCTTCTTCAAGCTTGAAAGCCAATCCGACGAAAGGCTCAGCTCCGTAAGGAACCAATGTGACCTTAGCCTCATTGCGGCGGCGGTCGAGAGCGATGTTGGGCACTTCAGCCGGGTTGGGCAGGTAGTCGACGACAGCGTCCAACATCTTCTGAACACCAGTGTTGGCCAAGGCAGATCCCATGACGACGGGGGTGAACGTGCGGGCGATGGTGGAGCGACGGATAGCGGCCTTGATCAGAGGAATGGATGGAGTCTCTTCGTTGAGGAAGACCTCGGCGATCTCCTCGTCGACATCGGCGAGGGTCTCAATGAGCACGAGGCGCTTCTCCTCGCAGAGCTTCTGCAGATCTGCGGGGATCTCGTCCTTCTCGACTACATTGAGTCTAGGCTCCTGTTAGCAGTGCTCGCGATACCCGGGGTGGCTGTAGCCTACCCAGAGGGTCCTTCGAAGTAGACAGCCTTCATCTCTACAAGGTCCACAACTCCCTTGAAGCCGTTCTCGACACCAATGGGGACCTGCAGCGAAGCAGCGGCAATCTTCAATTTCTTGTTGATCTGTTCCACGGCCTTCCATGGGTTGGCGCCCATACGGTCCATCTTGTTGATAAACGAAACTCGGGGAACGTCGTAACGCTTCATCTGCCTGTCGACAGTGATGGTCTGAGATTGCACACCGGAAACCGCACACAAGACCAGAACAGCTCCATCCAGCACTCGCAGCGCTCTCTCAACCTCAATGGTGAAGTCAATATGGCCGGGAGTATCAATCAAGTTGACGTGGTACTTCTGGTCGACGCCGTTGTCGTCCTTCTTCATCCAGTTACAGAAAGTTGCCGCAGACTGAATGGTGATTCCCTTCTCTCGCTCGAGGTCCATGGAATCCATCTTCGCACCGACACCATCCTTGCCACGCACTTCGTGAATATGTTTGGTCCGTCCGGTGTAGAAAAGAACTCGCTCAGTACAGGTTGTCTTGCCGGAATCAATGTGTGCGGCAATTCCGATGTTACGGACTTTGTCCAATCGTGCGGCATCTTCCGGGGCCAGCCCCGCAACCACCGTCTCGATGGGGATCTCTCCAGAGACTTCCTCCTCGGCCCTACTATCGTCAGTCCAAATTGCTTCCTACAACAGATACAAGGAAGTCTTACTCAGCTGCCTGAGTGGCAGCAGCGCCAGAGGCATATCTGTAGTTTCCAATCTTGTTGAGTGCCACCGGGAATGCTGCCCTTCGCAGCACAGCGGTGCTGTAGCTGGCATGAGGGGCCCTAGCTGCGACTCGCAGGCATCGCGAGGGTGCAAAGGTGCTGGCAGTACGGAATGACCGACACTGGGAACGAATGGTGGCCGCTGTCCGCATGGTGGCGTGGTGAGTTGAGATGTGGATGCTTCTAGGAGACGCGAACTGAAAAATTTAGGATTTCAAGGGTTCAGTTGTAAGTACCGGTGCTCCGAAAACTTATCTTATCTGATCCGAAGAAGGGTTCATCGGCCGGCACTCGGCAAAAGTGTTTACCTAATACCTGTCCCAACCTTGAACGACCAGAACGAGTGACGTGCAGTGGAGCTGCATTTGATTCCACGCACGGCATTTACAACGAGAGTAGACTGTGTCTCTACATCCTTCACTTAACGAATGTGTTCAAATCAGGGTTCTATGTATGATAGTATTTATGATCTCCAATTGTGTTCATGTCAAATTATGTACATTAGGCACCTACTTCTATTCGTTGCCCTTACCGACTCCGTTGTTGTGTGTGTACTCACAACCGGGGAGCTCGATATGTGAACATTCGCTCCGCTTACCTTTCCTCATGTGCTCACCTCCGCTTCCGTCCCATCCCTCCCTAAACATCATACATCACGACATACTACACACCACATCAAGATATTACACTCTGACATCCATTTCTCTGCATCTCTCCATACATATCGAATCTGCTACGACCATCTCATCACACTTTCCGAGCGTAGACTGCTATCGAAAGCATGTTCTACTCTCACGAGATCCTCACTAACCGGAAATATGGTGTCGCGACCATCTGGTATGTTCCTTCTGTCCCCAACATCTGGCGCACAGACATATGGACCGCTGCTGACGACGGACATGAAGGCTGGTTGCTACGCTAGGTCTGAGCAGGCTGCGCAAAGTCAACCGGAAGGAAATCCTCGCAGTTAATCTTCCGAAGGCCTGTGACACAGTCACCAACCCTGAGGCACCGTTGGCTCTCCGGCTTCAATCGAATCTTCTCGTTGGAATCTCTCGAGTCTACCTGCAGCAGTTTGAGTACCTCTATCACGATGTTTCCAACGCTCACATGAGCATGAAGAGGCTTGAGATGATCGACACAGCTAATATCAACATCAAGCCTACGAGAGAAGCCCAGTGAGCATCGGCCGGGAGTGCGTCGCTGTAAGAAAGATGTAGGCTAATTGTGTAGTGCCGAACAGCTCATTCTGCCGGACGACCCGAGGATACACCCCGACCTCCTGGGACTCGATCTTGCCGAGCTTCGAGACTTGTTGCTCGACGACATTGTTGACGCCCGGGAACCGGAGCTGGGTGCGGACTCGCTCATATTCAGCACCCCGGCGCAGCAAGGCTCCGCTGCGGGATCGCAACGGACCCCATTCGGGCTGGGCCCAGGAACTTCACCAAGCTCTGTTGCAGGAATCGGCGGATTCACTCCCTTCCAGCTTTCCGAGATCAACACGGACAAAGCACTTTCACCACTTCGAGATCTCGACTCCCAACTTGACCGGTTTGAAGAAAACCCACTCTTCGGTTTCGACGCAGACGGGAATTTCAGGGACAATACTCCACAACTCCCCCCGCTACTTGTAGGAGACGAGTCGCCGACCGTTGCTGCTAAAGCGAGGAAGCGTAAGCCGGGCGTTGGAAGTCACTTGGACAGCGACGACATCGAAGAGCAGGTCCGCCGTGAGCACGAAGAGGGTCACCAGGATGCCATGGAGGCAAGTTGCCGTTTCCTCCTGTTATCTTGCCTGCAATAACAGTTCTAAGGGCTGACAAATCAGATTGATCAGCCGATGGGTGAGGATTTGGTTTTGCCAAACATGATGGACCTGATGGACCTAGAAGAGCAACTACCCGTCCCCAATGTTGAAGCTGAAGTTGAGAAGGAGAAGGAAGTAACCCCCGTCCCCGCTGTTCGTCGTGCCCGCACCAAGCATGTAATCGTCGACAATAACAGCTGTGTGATCGTCCACGATACCCTCAAGGCCTGGAATACTGGTTACGCCGAACTCATGGAAAACAACTGGGAGGCAAAGATCGAAAACCTGAAGCATCGTCAGAATAGGCTTGCGATCATCAACCGAGCTATTATTGGAGAAGTTGGTCCAGCTTTCAAGTCGATGTTCTCTACGCAGGCGATCCTGGACAAATTTCAAGCATCCGCCGCCAATGCCGGAAGCCAGGGAGAGGAGGAAAATGCCCGGAGCTCTCAGGAAGGAGTTCAGGGGGAAGGAGAGCAGGAAGTTGGCCGCAGTGGGGATAATCAGGGGGCTGAGGTTCTTCCCGACGCCGCTGGATCTGATGTGGAGCTTGGCCGTGATGCTCCTCTGCACCGGGAGGACGTGGTCAGCTTACACAGTGGCGACCATATCATCTCCCCTGGAGGAGGTGCAAGCAGTAGCAGTGGCATGGGAGGAGGATTTGTCGCACGGCAGAGCTCGAGTCCTCTTCAGCTAAGGACTGGCCGCGCCGGGTCCAGAATCAGCGTTGCGGGATCTATTCTTGAGGTCGTCGAAGAGGTTGACGAGAGCAACCTACTCATGCCTGATTACGTTCCTGATCAGTTTGATTTTTACGGTGGTATGTTGCCCAGTTCTGTGTCTGCTGGGAAGACGCTAATCGGTGATATCAGAAGCCAGAGCTGCTCATGAAGAAATCAACAATGAGAGGGAAATCTCTGCTTTCTATGAGTATTTTCTCCTTACCCTGGTGCCTCAGACGTGCTGGTACTGATAAGACCAGCCACATCAAGAAAAAGCTGGCTACCGAGCAAGCCCATCGCGAGGCTGAACTCGAAGAGCAGATTGACCACATCGTCTTCCAGGAGATCGTTAAGCCTGACCGGTCTAACCGCCGCCTCGCCGCCGCCGCATTCCACCACACTTTGGTGCTGGCTACCATGGGACTCATCCGGCTCAACCAGGACGCGCATTTTGGCGAGATCCGCATTGGCCTCGTGTAAACTGCGGTTGAACGAATGCCCATCCTCGGTATAGTTACATAGAGGAAGTGTCAACGTGCCGGAGATTTGCCGTTTTTTTGTTTCTTTGAGAAGTACTTACCATTTGTTTTTTTTCTCTCTCTCCAAAAGTTTGAACACATAGGGGTATGATAGTAGGTACCGTAGATGATCATGGTAGTGCTTTTGAGTATTCGTATCGCGTGAGCCTGACACCTACGAGGCTGTAAGGGGCTTGTCTCCGCTTCGGCTTCTCCCGCCTTTCCCGCTCGTTCTTCTGTCGACATGTGTGGAAAGTCCTACATCAAAGTACTTTCACCAACAACGTCAGGTGCGATTACTCGCCGTTTGATTGGCCTGCAGCGTGTAATTTCTGTAAGGCGTGCGTCTAGCTAGCCGCTATCGCGCCCTGTTGAGTGCGTAGGTACTACTTATCCCGTTGATCTGTGTTGTGTTGTGGTGTGCTGTCCTGCCTTAAATTTTAGGTGAGCCCAAATCCAAACTCGTCTTATCAAATCCTTTCTTGTGAGACTCGTTTCAGAGTAGGACCACGATCCCATGGCTTCCGGATTCCCGGTCGATAGATACACATCAATCCTGGCCCGCCGCCCGCCTCATGCCCTGCAAATGCAAATGCGCCTTCGCTAAACAAGAGACGAGGTTGACGAAATTCAATATGTGTCTTCACGGATGAGAACATTCCTCAACATAAACCTAGATATAGTTATCCGTCCAGCCGAGAAGACGAGAAGATGCGATCCTTGCCAGCCAGATTGTTTGCAAGCATCCCCCACCCCTGGATCTAGATCAGCTTGCGTCATATATTTCAAAGGGGATCCGACGATGGTGCTGAAGAATTTATATCCACATCCCATCTCCGCCTAGCGAAGGCTCCGCGTCGATGCTAATGCCGATCAGATACATACCCGTCCGTCGCATACGAACTCGGACCGGAGGCTGTCCGGTAAGTCCGCTAGGTACTTGGGTAGGTACAGTTTACCTGCTAGTTTTGGAGGTTTGGTTTGATTTGGTTTGGTGCTCTATATATTCCGGCTGTTTTGTCCGGTCCGGAAAGACGTCATGGCATGCCATGGACCAGGCCGACGGCGGACGCGGTTGGAGTCTATGCTAGGGATCCAGGGCTTTCTAGCAGTGGGCACTGGGGAGCATGACAGGAGACACGATATGTTGATGTTCCCCTCAGACCGCCTCTTCACCGTGACGATCTCCAAAACTGCCGGAAGCAAATGCAGCCTCATGAAGATCCTGATGCCCGCCCCTTCCTCCGCCTCGCCGCGCCTCTCGAGACTGACGCGCTGCTGCTGGCTGCTCTCCCGTTAGTTATGTACTCCACTCCACTGGACCGCCGAGTGCGTGTTTGTACCTACGTGCTGATGCAAGACATTTCCTGGGATCTGCGACAGGGGAAACCTGGGGCAGGGTTCTGTATGGGTTGCCTTGACGACGCCCCCTGTATGCTAGAGTATACCCCCCTTTCCCCCCTTCCCTGAGTTCCCCACCAAAGCAAAGCAGTTGTTGCCTGTGTGGTTGTGGTTGTGTGTGTCTGTCTGTCGGCAATCATAAAGTCAAAACAAATCCCCGAACTCGGACTCGAACGAACGGGTACATACCCTGGAGACACAGATAGATCCCGTGTGTACGTGCGTGTGAAAGACAAGAAGAGAAGCTCATCTCTTCCCTCTCTGCCTCATCCTCATCTTCCTTCTACTTTATTACAAGATCTCCTCCTCCTCCTCCTCCTCCTCTGCCTCGTCCTCCTCGTCCTCCATCTTCTCCGACTCCACCTTCCCTACCCGACTGTCTTAATCGTTGGTTCCCTCTGCTCACTCTACTCTGCCTTACCTACTCTACTCTCCCATAACAACAACTCAATCCCATCTTCCGACCTCCCGACCTTCCGCTGCTACCTCACTCACTGCTACCATCACCACAACCATCATCAACCACTAACCACCAACCACCAACCACCAACCACCAACACCACCACCACCTACCGCACCAACACCAACACCAACACCCATCTCCCCCCGAAGCGCGGTTATCGCCTTCACCACCACCAGCTCTTCTCCCTTACCCGCCAAACCCCCCTACCCCACATCTCACCCAACCAACTAAGAAGATGGACGTGCAGCCAACCCCGCGCCGTCACAACCCATCGCGCACTCCCGCAGCCGCGCGAGACTCATACATGACCTCCGCCGCGGGTCGCTCCTCTCCGAAACACCACCCTACAGAGCACATGCCACCACCGCCACCACCTTTGCAGAGCCGCGCCGCCAACGAGTCATGGGACCCACAGCCCACGGTCGAGTGGAACACACCGCAGTCGTCGCCCACCAAGGGCAGCACCGCACACCTCGTCGAGCTCTTTGACAAGCAGATACAGCTCGCGCCCAGTCCCTCGCCGCGGCCGAGGCCCACACCTTCTAAGAGAACACTGAGAACCCCGGTTTCCGACGATGGCGACACGAGCGTGGTTCGGATGGATGAGAACTCGAAGGCCCCCAGGAGGACGCCGAAGGAGAGCGCCGTCTTGGCGGCGGCCGCCAGGGACGCGAAGAAGAGTACCGGCCCCGCGTCGAGGGGTTACGCTAGTGGTAGGACAAGGCAGTACGATCCGTTCAAGGATATGTCCCTGGAGGACCTCGAGAAGCTGTCGAAGCCGTCGGTCAAGAGGTTGAAGGATGTTGCACACTTGTGTAAGCCCCTACTAGCTAGTGACGTAACGTTGCCGGTGGCCAACTGACTGACTGACCTCCTCCTCCGCTAGACTTCTACGACTACTACTACAACCTCGTTACGTACGTTCACACGCGGCAAAGCAGGACCGACCAGTGGAAAGTGCAGCAGCAGGGCCGGCCCGCCGAGGACCAACCGCAGCAGTGGAGACGGTTTTGCGGCCGGGAACGAGCTGCGTTGAGGAAGCGTCGGACCAGGCTACGAAAAGGTGACTTCCAGCTGCTCACACAGGTCGGCCAAGGTGGTTATGGACAGGTGTACCTGGCAGAACACAAGGATACCAAGGAAGTCTGCGCTCTTAAGGTCATGAGCAAGAAGCTGCTGTTCAAGCTCGACGAGATCCGACACGTCTTGACGGAGAGGGATATCTTGACTGCTGCCAAGAGCGACTGGCTGGTGAAGCTGTTGTACGCGTTTCAGGATGAGGAGAGCATCTACCTTGCTATGGTACTTTTAGACACCGCCGCGTGTGGGGAAATGGTAATCACTGACGCTGTCTTAGGAGTACGTTCCCGGAGGTGATTTCCGTACGTTGCTCAACAACACTGGTGTGCTGCATTTCAACCATGCGCGATTCTACATCTCGGAAATGTTCACGTCCGTGAATGCCTTGCATGAGCTTGGCTACATCCACCGTGACTTGAAGCCGGAAAATTTCCTGATTGACTCTTCCGGTCACATCAAGCTCACCGATTTCGGACTCAGTGCTGGAAAGCTTGCGCCGGAACGTATGGAGAGCATGAAGATGAAGCTGGAGCAGGTCAAGGACATGAACATTCCCGAGCGTTCGACCATGGAGAAGAGGAATGCATACCGTACTTTGCGGGAGAGCGACGAGAACTATGTAAGTTGCCGAGTGAGCTGCTACCTGAGGTGATGAGTGCCTAACCGGAGAATAGGCGAAATCTGTGGTTGGATCGCCAGATTACATGGCTCCGGAGGTCCTGCGTGGAGAGTCATACGATTTCACCGTCGACTACTGGTCCTTAGGATGTATGCTGTACGAGGCCTTGGCCGGTTATCCGCCCTTCGCGGGTGCCACCGTCGAGGAGACCTGGCACAACCTCAAGCATTGGCGCAAGGTCTTGCACAAGCCGGAATACGAGAATCCCAACTACTTTCTCTCCAAGAGGACCTGGGACTTCATCATCAGGTGATTTGCGCATCCGCTTTTTTCCTACTCCTACTGACTGTTGCCAGACTGGTCGCTGGCCGAAATGCTCGATTCGCGGACTTTAAGACCGTCCGCAGCCACGAGTACTTTGCCGAGATTGACTGGAACAACCTTCGCGCCAAGGATCCGCCGTTCGTCCCAGAGTTGGACAGCGAGACCGATGCGGGATACTTTGATGACTTCAGTAACGAGGCCGACATGGCAAAGTACAAGGAGGTTCACGACAAGCAGGCGGTGTTGGAAGGGATGGCGGACAGAGGCGATAAGATGAAGAAGTCTGCGTTCTTGGGATTCACTTTCAAGTAAGCGCTCCGATCGGCCAACGGGTTTCACCAATATTGACGCTATTCTAGACGTAGGATACCAGGCAATCTCAACGACCTCGCCAACATGAGGCAGAGTCTCGGCGACGGACAGTTTGGAACCATTTTCTAAATGTTGGCTTGTACGGGTCTTCTGCAATGATGGGCGTTAATGGGGCACTGTATTTGTGGTGGCATAGCGATTGGTCAAGCGGGCTGGGCTTTTTTTTTTCTTTTTTCTTTTTTTTTTGTGAGGGTTGGGAATTCACGGGCTCGGGATTTGCGTTTTCCTTCTACTCTACTTTCTTTCTTCCTTCCTTCATTCCATTGATCGAATTCGGATTATCCACGTTTTTCATGTGCAATAGATACCACTTGCTCTTTGTACCTTACTACTTTTTGTCTTTACTACCAACCAACCAGTGTAATGCTTTAATACAATACACTTCCCTTTTTTGTCGGTGGGCTGGCTGAAGCTCAAGCTCGGACGTGGAAGATGATATTCTGTGATGAATAGTTTTCCATGTTCATCAAGTGGCGCTAAACTATGACTGGACAAGCGTGACTTAGTGGTTAGTTGCAACCCCGCAAACCAACTAAAAACCCCCACCATCGCTCGACGCGCTTCTTCTCGACCTCGCAGCTCTCCACTTCACCACCACCGCATCTACGCAGCTTACGCTCAATCGATCGATCGACTCGTACAGACAGACAAAACGCAGCAATAATGGCCGAAATGAGCGCGCAAGAAAAGATTGCCCTGATCACGCAGGGCCTGCAGGAAGTCCTCAAGAAGGAGCTCATCATCGACGTGATCGAGAAGCAGAACCGGCCGCTGAAGATCTACTGGGGTGAGTCTTCTTCTTCTTCCACCTCACATCTTGTTGTGGGGTGTGATGTCCACGTTGCTCGTGCTGACCCATCCGCACTCACAGGCACGGCGCCCACGGGCCGCCCACACTGCGGCTACTTCGTGCCGATGGTGAAGATCGCGCACTTCCTGCGGGCGGGGTGTTCGGTGCAGATCCTATTGGCGGACATCCACGCGTTCCTTGACAACCTGAAGGCGCCGCTGGAGCTTGTCGCGCACCGGGCGACCTACTACGAATTTCTGATCAAGGCGATGTTGCGGTCGATTGGCGTGCCGCTCGACAAGCTCAAATTTGTCAAGGGCAGCGATTACCAGCTCACACCCGCGTATACTATGGACCTGTTTAGATTGTCAAGTATCGTCTCGGAACATGATGCCAAGAAGGCGGGTGCGGAGGTCGTCAAGCAGGTTGCGAGCCCGCTGCTCAGTGGGCTCATCTATCCGCTCATGCAGGCCCTGGATGAGGAACATCTCGGTGTTGATGCGCAGTTTGGAGGAGTCGATCAGAGGAAGATCTTTACGCTTGCGGCGGAGAACTTGGGCAAGATCGGGATGAAGGAGAGAGCGCATTTGATGAATCCGATGGTGCCCGGACTTGCTGGCGGGTAGGTCCCCACCTCTCCCCCAATTCATCTCACGGGGATCACGGGGGCTCACGGGAAATAGCAAAATGTCCGCCTCAGATCCCAACTCCAAGATCGACCTGCTGGAGAAACCGGATGCTGTCAAGAGCAAACTCAAGAAGGCCGTCTGCGCGCCGCAGGAGATCGAGGGTAACGGCGTGATCTCGTTCGTCGAGTACGTGCTCTTCCCGTGCGCGCAGCTCTCGGGGAAGTCCTCGTTCCACGTCCCTCGCCCCGAGAAATATGGTGGCCCCGTGGACTACGCCACTATGGACGAGCTGAAGGCGGCGTACGCCGACGGATCGGTAGGACCCATGCCTGCACCCAACCAAGCACTAGTTAGTCTCTGCTAACCGTTCGTAGCTCCAACCTGGCGATCTCAAGGCTGGTGTAGAGCTAGCTCTCAATGCCCTCCTCGCCCCGATCCAGGAGGAGTTCAACAACAACGCAGAGTTCCAGAAGATTTCGGAGCTGGCGTACCCGCCGCCGGTGGTCCAGAAGAAGCAGAAGAAGGAGAAGAAGATTGGCAGTGGATACCCCGCGAAGGACAAGAAGACGGATGCGGCTGTCGCTCAGGCTGTGGCCGACGGGAAGGTCAAGCCCGAGGAGGCCGTCGCGCAGGCGGTGGGTACCGGCGCGGAGGATGCGATGGAGAAGCTCAAGGTTGCGGAATAAGCAGTGCGGTGATACGTAGCGATGCATTTAGCTGGCGACGGCGGCGGTGATGGGATAATTTGTACATAGACTAGGCACCTAGGGGGCGGGCGTAATCAATCATTCCTTCATTCCTTCATTCCTCATCAAGGCACATACACCAACCATCACCACTCAACCCTCTCCCCCATCCAATCGTAGAACCCGCCCCTCTGGGCCACGTCCAGTCCCATAACCACACCAAGTACCTTCTCTGCCGCGTCTTCCGGCTCGAAGAGCTGTCCCTCCGGCACATGGTCCCAGAACTCCTTACTCAACCCCGTCCGCACCGTGCCGGGGTGTATCGCCACCGCCATCGCCGCATCGCCACTCCTCCCCGCAAGGTATATATCAAAACTCTTCGTCACAGCATTCAACCCCGCCTTCGACGCGCGGTAGCTATACCATCCACCAGCGCGATTATCACCAATCGAGCCGACGCGCGCAGAGAGGTTAACCCACACCGCAGGTGTCGCCGCCGGTGTGCCTTTCTCCGCATCACCCCGTCGCCGCCGCGGCAGGAACTGGCCGAAATGCTTCATGACCAACATAGGCCCGAGGAGGTTTGTGCGCAGCGTGTCGAGCGCAGCGTCGTGCTCGATTGCACCCGGGGAGCGCTCCGGGTATAGCACTCCCGCCGTCGAGAATATGTACTCCGCCGTGTCCGTCGGGAACTGTGTGCGCACGGCTGCAGCTGCCGCGGCGAGCGTGGGCTCGGACTTCACGTCGGCGTGGAGGACTGTTACGCGTGATGAAGGAATTGAGGAGGAGGTCAGGGCGGACTGCAGCGCGGACGGCGAGTGTCGGCACGTCGCGATTAGGTGGTTCGGTGATGAGTGGAGCAGGGCTTGGGCGAGTGCGAGCGAGAGGCCGCGCGAGGAGGGGAGGATTATGTTGAATGGCATGGTGAGGGTCAATGGTCAATGAGAGGTGAGGGTGAGAGGGAGTGGGCGAGCGGTAGGAGAGTGAGAGAGTGTGGGAAAGTGGTGACGACATGCTGCATGAGCCACAAAGGTGCCTGGGCCGTGCGCTGGTTTGTGCTACCTGACGCGAGGTTATCTCGTTGTAAGGAGTCATACGCAGGGTCCAGGAGGGTACGATTTGACTCTGGGCGTGTGAACCCTCTGCACTGTCCAGACGTAGACGTCGACCGAGTGACTATGAATGCACCTAGATAAACGACCGGCGGTGTGTGTCGTACATCCCAATACCTTACCACCGCATCATATTACTTGACCAGAGAAGGGATTGCCGATACGCGGAAAAGGCACATTGGTTGAGTGACCTCACATGAAGTACGAACCCACACGGTCGTCACCAGCGATGAGCCTAACGATTGATTGCGCACCAGAAACCCAGGTAGATTCGTAGTAGGTAACTGCCAGGTATCGAATGCACACACACCCCGCCCTTTCTCCAACCAGTCTGCATCTAAGCCTTCGGGGGCAACTGAGACAGGATCGGGCTCTCGGCCTGCTGCTTCTTCAGTTCGCGACGGTAACTATCGCACATTAGCCACCACCACCCGGACCCATCATATCCGTAACGTAGGAAGACTCACAGCGCAATCCTGGTCAACTGCGTAGCACCGACGACACCCAGGAAGAAGTTGACAGCAGCCAACCTGTCGCACACATACACGGTCAGTCATTCGCTGCTCAAAAACCGGGGGTTGTGAAAGCGACGTACGGAATGTTGCGAGGCTTGATGATCAGACACCAACGCGTCCAGATCATTCCGGTCGCGGTCAGCGCGGCATTCTGGTTGACGGACAGGTCCTGGACGGGTCTATAGAAGTCACTAATTCCGGCGATGACGAGACCCCACTATTGCGTGTGAGCGAGCCTCACGAGTGACGATAGAGGAGGGCTACGGAGGATGTACCTTGAGAACGGGAGCCTGCAGGATAACATGTTAGCACGCACACGACACGCCGGAGATAAGAAATCCGCGATCGGAGTAAAATACATACCCAGAAGTGCACGGTCCTAGGGTTGAACGCGGGGTTAATGGCCTTGACGGCGGCGGTGGCACCTTGAGAAGCCATCTTGCTGTTGTTCTGTGTGTTGTGGTGGTTGTAGTGGTGTCGGCGGATGTGGAATTGGATGGCGGGGTTGTAGCGTAGAAGTCGTTGGCGACTGACTGGTGTCGGTCGGCGACTGGTGTGTTGAAGCTCCTTCCGCCGCCAAATTGCCCCTAACAAATAACCAAAGCGTCACCAGCTGACTAATCCCAGCCCACCCGCATTCAAATCCACATTTACCCCGACAACCCGGAAGTGAGCCTCACCACAACATTCCACCCCGCCACTCCCATCGCCTATCCTCCTCGAACACCACCACGAAAACAGCAACAATGGCATCGCGATACGCATTCTCGAGTGGCCTCAAGGAGCTGCGATTCCTGTTCTGTCAGACCGGAGAACAGAGCAGCGCTGTTCGGTAGCCGCCACTTCCGTCCGCCCAATCCCGCGCGATGAGCTCACAAGTCGACAGACAGTTCTTAGCGAAATCATACCCGGTTATGAAGAAGCATAATCCAGACACGCCAATCATGATTCGGGAAGCTGCCGGCATCGAGCCGAGGGTCTTTGCTCGTTTCGGTGAGCACCCCGGATTTACGGAGGTGTAGACTGTATGTGGCTAATGCGCTGGGGATGGCAGAGTTCGGCAAGGAGACACAGAAGCCGCTGATGGGGCTCTCGGACAAGGAGATCGAGGAAGCTGTCAACGGGCTGGTAAAGAATGGGTCAGCATAGGTGGGAGTCGGAGGAGGAGGGGAAGCTATGGTGGATGTATGCACGGCTACACACAACATGTCTACTAGATTCTACACGTCCACGGTTACATACGCTTCAATCACGGTCTACCGAAAAATCACTCGTTTTTGTGTTCAATATTCCCACGGATATCATTGCGCCAGCTATATGCTCCACCACTAGATATGCATCACTACAATCTAAGCTATCAGCTCAGCCACATCCCCGAACCGGTACTGTGCCCAACTCAACGACAATTCGGTGAGCGTAAACAGCTGCTTTCCCTTATCCTCACCCGCAGCCCCGGCGGCGATGTGCACCGGCAATAGATGCTCAAACGTTGGGTGTGCTTGTCTCGCGCTCTTGTGCCACAGCAGCTCCTTGAGAGCCTTCTTCCTCTCCTCGTCTGTGGACGGTTCAACAACCGCCTTTTTGAGCTCCTTGTCGAAGACTTTGGCGTACGGAAGCTCCTCGCCAGACATCATGGCGAAGCCTATATCACTGTTTCGTGTGAGTGACGAGGTTCGCAGGAGACGGGGAAGGGGAAGGAGTTACCGAAGGTTGTGCACAGCCATTCCGGAGCCGATGATCAGGATATTCTCGTCGCGCAGACTTTGTAGTGCCGCGCCGAGGGCGTAATGTTTATCCGGGTCCTCGTTTTGGAAGAGACTCACCTGGACGAGTGGGACGCCCAGAGGATTCTCATCGGGACCGAACACTATCCACCATCAGCGCTGCAAATTCTCTCCAGTCGGAATGATACGCACTGCAGGTAAACGGCGCAAACACGCCATGGTCCAGCCCCCTCTTAACTCCCTCCGCCTCAATCCCCGCATCCTTCAGCAGCCCAATGACCTTGTGCGCGAGGTCCCGCGAGCCCACGTTGGGGTACTGGACTTTGTAGTAGTGGTCGGGGAATCCGTAATAGCTATCAAGCGCGCCCATCAGCCTCTATTCCCACCCATCTCTCATCCCCCACAAGAAGCAGTGCCACATACTCGTAAATTAACTTTGTAACCTCCGCTTCATTGACTTCGACCTTGTTACGACCGGCCTGCCAATGCGCAGAGAACACGACCACCGCCTTCGGCTTCACCTTCTGCGTAATCTCCCGCCCGATCTTCTGCAGCTGTTTGAACGCCGGATGCTCCGTCTCGAACATTACGTTCGGGCCGCCATGGGAGACGAAGTACACCGGCGTGCGGTTGGTGGCGGGAGAAGTGGACATTGCTGCGTCGGTGGAGATGGCGGCGACGGCGGCGACGGTGGTGGTGGTGGTGGTAGTGGTGGTGATGGCGGTACTAGGACGGAAGAGAGTGGAGAGGCGTTTTAACACGCCGCTGGATGAAGAGGGGGAAAACACGATTGCAATCGAGACGAGAGCTATGAGGAGAGCTGCGAGGACTGTCCGTGTGCTACCAGTAGTGGGGGCTGCGGCGGCGGTGGGGGCGGCGGTGGTTTGGGGGCGTTGGGAAGCAATCTTGGCTATCTGTATCTGACGGTTTCGTATATATCCGAAGATGGGGATTTAGAGTAGCTATGGATGTAGACGCGAAGTCGGTTTTATATATGGATATCGCCATGCTGTCGGTGCTGATGAGGTGAGGCTCGTTGTGGGTACATAAGCTGAAGGAATGGCAGTTTGTCATCGCTTAGGAATTGGCAATGCGCATTTTCCCAACGCAGGTTCATTCGGTAAGGCCCTAGTAAGAAATTGGACAAGTATCCGAAAGTCCGAGACATCGCTGCTTCGGAACTCCGTCCTCGGACATCTGCCTCACAAGGCAGCGGAAACTAGCTGTCTCGGATACATGTACTACTCTACGCGTGCTCACTCTTTCCTCGGAATCCCATGAATATGCTTGAAGAAACAAAATGAAATTTTGATCAGATGTACACACCACCGCATGCCGTCGCCGGTGTCCATCTCTCTGTATTTAAGCTATGTTTACACTTTACAGAACGTCTATCATATGTTGTTGCACCCCGTTACGCCAGCCATAAGAAGGACAGGGAAGAGAATAGGGAGAGCTGAGAGAGAATACAGAGTAAAAACAGAACCATCGCACCAACTTGTAGAAAGATAGGGAGAAGAGAATCGGAGGGGGAATCAACTAATCTTAGCCTAAAGAATACACACACACAATGAAGCGCCTCATCAATCGGTACGCCTTTTACTCGGAGGCGCAGTCTGCAACGGCGGCCAGTCGTGTCCTGTCATGACCGTATTGACATTGACCGGGGGAACAACTCCAGCCGCAAGCTTAGGGCTTCCTTTCGTCGGCTTGACGGCGGAGAGCCAGCCTTTCTTCCCACTTGCGCCGTTCTCGCCCCACATGGATAGGCGCTGTGTTCGTCGGAGCTTGTGCAATCCATACACGCAGATGATGGCCGAGAAGACAATGGCCCAACCGGACACTCCGGCGAAGGCAAAATCGGATTCTTCCAGGAAGTTTTTCAGATTCATGCCGTACAGACCGGCGACAAATGTGCCGGCACCGATACCGAGCGTGCCGATGGAGAATTTGAGGTCGAGCAGCATCAGCGAGTTGCGGTTCGCGTCGAGAATGATGTTGACACTGGCGAGATCAGCCCCACTACAATAGCCACCAAGAGGGAATGAGGGACCAACATTTCTTCGGTACTGCGTATGCTAGACACCAGATTGCTCGAAATCTGCACAATCTCGTCACAGATCTTGTGGTAAGATTCCAGCAGCATCTCCACCTCCGTATGCTCCTCCATCGGCCGCTCTTTTCCTTGAAGCTTCTCGGTCAAGTACATATCCGCCAGATCATCGTCGGCATCCAGAATCTCCTCAATCGCATTGCGGATCAGCTTCGCCTTCTGCTCGAACGTCGACAGCTTCTTGGAGTAGATCAAGAGCTGTCTCAACTGATCCCGATCGATATCCTCCTCGAGTTCCCCGAGCAACTGTACGACGAGTTCTTGCAGCACACGCATCTCCGCCTCTAGCGCCGCCGTAACAGAGATTAGGATCGCTTCGAGCGCGCGCATCTCGTACGGCAGTCCGCCCATCGCCTTTGAGCCTTGCCGCAGCTTGCCCTCAAGGTCGTACATGAAAACAGACTGGGTATAAGAATCGTTGGAGCCGTAGATGTCGAAGAGGAGAACAGTATCTGCTTTTATGAGGGCGCGGATATGGAGGAGGTTTACGAGGATCGAGTTCTTGCGAACGAGGATGTGTGGGACTATGGTACTGGGCACCCAGATCTTTCGGAGGTCTCGCGGTAGTAGACCATGCTATGGCACCGTGACGACCAGGCTTGCTATTAGTTTTCGATCGAAGGATCTCTTCACTATCGCCACCCAGGGGATTACGAAAACCAACCTTTGTGCACAATTCGGTTTTCTTGAACTCTCCCGAAACAACCGTAACATTACCTACCCGCACGCAAAAACCACCCAGACGTCAGATCCAATCTCTTGCTGTCTCGCATAAACAATTGCGCGCGCTGAATTGAGTGATGGCGTGCGCACCTTCACGGTCGAACTCCGTGCACCTAAGATAATCATCGTTGCTCTTCTGCCTCAGACTTCTGCCGAGAATCGCATCCTCCGGCGTGGCATCCAGATACCTCGATGACGTCGTTTCGTCCCTCCGCGGCGCATCTTTCCTCGTCTTCTTGAACAGTATCTCCATGAATCCCGGCCCACTCGCATATCTACGCCATTCCCCCAAGACTACCGGTCGTGGCCGGAAGTGCGTGTGGGTGGTGACATTTCGCGTGGCGGTGGTGGGGGTGCTGTAGAATCGAAGGCAACGTTCCGACGGACCGACAGCATGGCGGAGCAGGGTCGAGGACGTAAGGCGACAAGAAGCGGGGGGCGCAAAACAGGTGCGCATGTGGAGGAGGAGGAGGCGGAGAAGGAGGGGGTGAGGAGGCGGGTGAATGGGCGTTGCGCTGAGGAGTCGTTGCGGCGTGTTTGTCGAGGTTGAATTAAAGTGAATATAAAACCGGTTCCAAAAATTGAGATGCCGCCGGCTCCCTGGCGCTTATCACGTGGACAGGGTAGCGCCCCAAAGTTGGTGGGGTGATCACGAGCGAGGGGAGATGCATTACTGTGGACGATCGAAGATTGAAGGTTTGAAGTATTCGACTGGCAGTAGGTAGCTGACTCCGCGCTGTGGTCTCTCAATTCTCGCTTGATTTTCTCATGAGATGAATATATTCGATGCTGCCACGCGAGTTTCACCGTCGTCTCTGATGCAAGATCTGTAACACAAAGACAACCGACATTCCACGAGAGTCCAGCAATGCTGAAAAACGTCTTTATTTAAGCCTGCCCTGCCTCGGGTTATCTATTGTCCCCCTTTTCACCCTGGGCCCAATTGACTGAACCTCTCCATTGCACTCATCTGCATACATCTCCGTAACGCCTCCGTCTCGAGGTAAATGCATCACCTCTCCCGAGTCCCTCCTTGTACGAGTGTCAACATCTCCACCTCGAGACCATTTAACATCCCTTCTCCCACTTGTCCCGCAGTGGATAGTCTTCAGCCTGCCGGCCTCGCTACGTGTACATACCTCGGCAATGAACCTCACGGCCACAACTTCACTCCTCCTCCTCACCTCAAGCTCCACAGTTGCCCTGCCTGGAGTCCTCACACTACCTGCAGAATGGGGACTCGGCCACTACGGCGGCACTGTCAGCTCGATGTCAGCAGCATGGCTACAAGCAATCGCTATTACACCTGCGGAGTTCGCCATCACGCCCCCTGCTGTCGCACGCTCGAGTCAACCTACAACGTCGACCTCCACAATCACTACTACGATAGTAGTAACCGTTCCGGGCGTGGAGACGGTGACTGTAACTGAGTGGGAGCAGGTGGAAGAGGCGACTGGAATTCCGCGGGCATAAAGTGTGAAGAGTGAGGATGAAGCGTGGAGATGAGGTGGATTGTGGTCTTTGGTATGGCCTAATGCCGGCTCGGTGGTTGAAGATTCAATGAAGAAACCTGTGAATTGCAATTACTCTGTACTGTTTAATACTTTTAATGGAGCTGATGGATGGGCCACAATCGCTGTTGATCATGCGATATCACTCGCCAGATGTCGGAAACTGTTCATTCGACGAGCTGTAGGAAGTGTTCGCCGTGACAGGTAAGCAAGCATCCCAGTCCCAGTATCTAGCAGCTTTTACAACGCCTTTCGCAAAGGCCGACTCCCTGAGAATCCCAAAGATGGCTTACCAGCATCATGGTGTGTGTGGGGGTGCCCCACATCGGTTGTTAGGTACATATACACGCACCAATGGCCGGCTGCAAGCATCGGTTTATGTGGGGCAACCCAACTCCAACGTTAGCGATTCTCCGTGTTTTCATAAAGCTACTGGAATCGAGATAGCAAGTACCCACTTTCTTGATCAGCACTTCTCCTTCGCTATCTCAATCATTACCTTCAAAAACAACCGTTACACTCACACAATGGCGTCCGACGAAACCACCACCACCATGCCCCCCAACACCCTCCGCAACCCCGTCACGCACATAACGACGCACACCTCCTCTGGCGTGTCGACACTGGGCTCCAGCAACGCTTCGGTGTGGACGACTCCGATCGGGCCGGAAGGGCGCTTCTCTTTGCTATACACGACGCCATTGCCGATCAGCAATCCGGCGACCTCGGCACTCGCACCGGCCTCGGCGGACTCGGGTACGCTCGTGAACGCGGGAGGCGCGCTTTTGCGCTACGTCGACTTCGTGCCGGGCTACGAGTGCGGCATGCACCGGACGAACTCGGTGGACTTTGGGATCCTGGTCGAGGGCGAGCTCACGGCCATCATGGATGATGGCTCCGAGGCGAAGTTGGCGAGGGGTGATGTAATTGTCCAGAGAGGCACTATGCATGCTTGGAGGAACGACGGCGTGGGTTGGGCGAGGATCGCGTTTGTTCTACTGGCCTCCGACCCGGTAGAGGTCGGCGGAGAGGTGCTCGAGCCGAGGTTTTTGAATGATCAGGAACTTAGGGAGCTTAAGGAGGGGTGGGCGAAGAAGAGGGCGGAGAGGGAGGCGGTTTAGATTGTTGTATTTAGGAATTGAAGTCGATGCCATTGGCTGCGCTGTTGTCTGCTTCCCGTGGCTCGTGTACGTTCATGTCAAGTAGATCCTCATAGTATATCATTCCGTGCACTTTGAAATCGTGTAGATCTTGGCATTCGTGATATGTGCATTCGGAATTGCCACACTGAGTCAGTGATCTGAACCGTGGGGGGGGGGATCAGAAGAAGTACGCCGTCACAGTATCTTTTGATGGATAAGGAGGCGAGATAATTGCAACGAGCTAAACCAGTATTTGTATGATACATAAATCGCCATGATCTGACCAGTCGCATGCAATAGATGAAGAGAAATAGGAGTATGTACATCCACCACATGAGGACCCAGACGCGAGGGCTAACTACAGGACAACACAGCCATACAAAAAAAACGCAAGGATTTAAAAATTCGAAATGCAACACGAACGCCATCTATGCAGTGCTAGCCATTCCTCGTTTCACGAAACTACACTTCAATCCGCCGCATATCTATCTACTCCCTCGCATCAATACCATCTCCGCCTGTTAACCGGCGTAACAACCGGGGCATTGGGATTTCCCACGGGCACTGTCGCGATAGGCGTAGGCTCGGGCGCGGGCGTGGTCGCAACGACGGATGTCAAAAACGTCGTCATGGTGACCACGGCAGTGCTCGTTACCACGGTGACGGGTGCGTCCGTGATTGTGGGGACGACTGGTGCTGCGGTGGTGGGCGCGGGTTCCATGGCGATGTCAGTGGTTAGTGGGGGGACGCCACCGGGGTTGTCGATTGAAGTGGGGCTGGCGGTCGGGATCGCATCCGAAGTGGATGTCGAGGTCGGGACTACCGCGGCTTCTGTGGTCTCAACCGGTGGCACTGTGGGTGCCTCTGTGGGAATGACAAGTGACTCGGTAGGTACCGCAGGCGCTCCCGTGGTTTCAACCGGCGGTGCAGCATCCGGTGCCGTGGTGGGGATGGGCGCTTCAGATGTAGTAGTCGGCACTGGCACTGGGGCCGTGGTCGGAACCTCGACGGCAGTGGTGCTCGTCTCAGGAGCAGGAGTAGTGGGCTCTGGCGCAGGAGCAGTCGGAGTCGGGGCAGCAGGCGCGGTAGTCTCCGCATCCCCACCACCTCCACTTCCACCACCGCCAACAATCCCTTCGAGCTCACTCGCCTCAACACCCATCCTCCTTGCCGCCTCTTCGACGGTAACACAAGCCACGCTCACGCCCTCGGCAAGCTCCAGGGGCAGCGCAAAGCAGGTAGTCGGCTTCAGGCACGCGAAGGCGCTCGAATACTTTCCATTATCGCACTTGTAGAAGCTGCCCTGGATGCAGACGTTTGCCTCCGCGGGGTTTTTGGCGTCGCAGGATGCGTCGGCGGTGATGCTGGCCATCTTGCGGTTTTGTTCCAGCGCGAGCTTTTGGTTGGATTTGCCGATCGCCGTGGAGCCTTCACCAGGGCTGGGGGTGGTGCTGGTTGAGGGCTCGGCCGTGGCGGTTGACGAGGTCTCGCTGGCAGCAGTAGATGTAGGCGTTGCTTCCTCGGTGCTTTTCGATGCTGCTTCCTCGGTGGCCGTGGGTGCTGCTTGTTCAACGGACTTGTTCGTCTCGACCGGGCCCTCATCCACCGCAGCAGTAGGCGTGAGCTCGGAATCGAACGTTCTCGTGGTCGGAACGGCTTCGCCGCTACTGCTGCCGGTCGGCTCACCCGACACCTCCGTTGCACTCGATACCGGCTCATCTGTTGCGCTCGCCGTCGGCTCATCCAGCGTTACAGTAACAGTCGTATCCGCCGGGCTTTCTTCCACTGGAGGTGCAGTAGTCTCCAACTCAGAGTCGAATGACCGCGTGGTCGGGATAGCACCACCACCACCACCGCCACCGCTACCCTTACTTGTCTCCACCGCAGTCTCGGTCGGCGTCGCCGTAGGCTCATCCACCGTCACAGTAACCGTTGTCTCCACCTCACCCTCCCCCACCGGCGCGGTCGGCGTAAGCTCGCTGTCGAATGATCTGGTCGTAGGGATGCTCTCGCTGCCATCTGTTGGCCCAACAACGACCGTGGGTACCACCGGATCGCTGGTCGGATCTGCGACTTCTACCACCGTTGTCGTGATTGTTTGCTGGACGGTCGTTGTTACTACATCGCCGTGATCTCCGCCACGCTTATTGATGCCGCGGCTATGGAGAGTCAGTACGTGAGTGTGAAGGGGGAGATATGTGCACCTACAAGCCGAGGGGACCAGCGAGAACACTGGAGGTGGTGCCGAGTACAACCACTAGGGAAGTAACGTAGCTGGTGAAACGCATGATGTCTTTTTTTTGTGTGTATGTGTAGTTTTATCGAAGTAGAGAAAATGCTATGAGGAATGAACGTAGGTGATTATGAATCCGCTGTTGTCGAAAAAGTCGCAGACTTTAAGCAAGAAAATACACAGCACAGCTGCTTTAAAAAAAAGGAAAGGAGACAAAGAAAGAAAAGGCAAGAGAAAGGGAATGGTGGCTGTAGCTGATGTGTTGAGTTGTGATCAAATTGAATGGGGAGTGAGGGATGGTTTGAAGATATACCTCCACTTGGACCCTCCCGCGTCGACTGACGCCAGCCCTACGGGTCTGAAGACTTTGGACTCCGTCATCTGGCGCTGAGTTCAAATTGAATCGCCGTGTAGATCATGATTGGGTCTGGGCCCCCCTAGCCACGACACCTAGCCACATTGAAACCCCCCTCGCCAGCGAAAGAACAATACTCTGCACGGACGTTTAGAATTGGTGTTCGGAATAGCAGGGCGGTTGTGCAAACACGGCCAGCAATGTTCTTCAAGGAGCATGGTGGTTGGTTGGTGTAGTTAAAGTGTTTAGCCGCCCACCCCCCAATCAGAGGCCATGGTCAATTTTAAGCCGCAGTATCAAGATAAAAAAAGCACAAGCTTGAAACCGCCACTAGCTGAAGTGGGATATTTAATTCGAAACCAGGGGGGGTTGACTTTGAGATCCACCAAGCAGCACTAACTACTGGTGAGCAGCGGACATGCGACGATAACTATGACGATTCTCTGGGGTCTCCGTACGTAGCGAGCAGATCTGGCCAGAGAAGTCAGGAGTCCGTGATTGACGCAAGCGGGGCATTGGCGTTTCGCACTTCCCCCTCTGTCCGTCCGAACGTCTGAAAAATACACATTCCAACCGGTGCCAATCAAACGAAAAAAATCGCAGAGCTTTCAATTTTAACGAAGCACCAGTCACAAACCCATGGTCGTTCTTGACCGCGTGATTCACATTAGTTAGAGTATCTATCGGACAGTCAGGCCCACCCCAGCCACGATGTGCGCACTCGGTGTGTGCACATTTGCATCACAAGCTCTCACCAGCCACACCTCCCTCGAAGCTCGGACCTTTTTTTTGTATCTCGCCTACTGAGCCTAATTCCGGCGGTGAAAACCGGACATCGTATCTACATTCTCACCGGCGTTCGGGGTTCATGCCGATTGGATTGTAGAGGTAGAGATAAATATCCACCGCTTTCATGCTGCTCCCAGGCGATACAAACTCTCTCGGTTTCCATTCCGATACAGGTATCTAGAGTACCTACTGTGGATCAACGCGCTCGAGCTCGTCGTTAAACTCTCATTCAAAAAGCAGACCCTTCAAGCTCCATGCAAGCAAGCCTGTAAACTCTACCAGTTTTCGTTGGGTATGCATGAGAACAGAAGTGCGCGGTGCGGGGCGGTGTTTGTGGCCATGACCGACCTGGAAGTGACCAAATTAGTTAGTCATTCGCGTCTAGCTAGTCTAGGCCAGGTGCTGCTGTACCTATTTGACTGCGGCAGACAGGTAAGGCTTAGGGATCGAGAATCGGGAATCGATCATGACTCACCACTGTGCTCTAGGTACTATGTACCAGTGCTTTTAAGGGCAGCATCGCCCCTTTCCTTTCTTTCCACCAATCCAACTGATCCATCACCAACGTCTTTGTTAGAGATACTACCAACCTTCTCCCGACTCCAGGACTCCGTCGACCTAAACCTGCATCTTCCGGATCTATCCCGGCAGCTAACGGAGTCTTTGACGGCGCAGACCCTTGGGCCATTGGAGAAGGGCTCACGTGGACACGTGGGGATATCCGGATACATGCGAGTCTACCCGTCCTGGCCGGATAATACCTACCTTTCAATACGTGTCGTGGGTCGCCCATCAGCCTTCACAATCCAGCCGACTCGTGATCGGGCTCGCACCTTTTGCGCCTACCAGCCTACCACAACGACAGTTCGAGTGGAGTCTTCACTGAACGCAGAGGATGTAGGTCGGAGTCCGCGAGATGACTAGCCGGATGGGAGTCCAGCCCTCTTGTCCCGGTCGTCGGTTCCCCGCGACTGCGAGGGTGCCGGGCAGAGTCAAGGCGCGTGAGACGGCCTTCCGGACATCTGGCCGGAGGCCGGTTAGTTCAACAAACTCTAGGAGAAATATGTTGGGACAGGTGCCATATTCAAGGTCTGTGTACCTATTGTCGGCAACGCGGTTGGGAAAACTCGAGAATCACAATACGCACCGACTGAAGTGGAAATCCCGGTCACCGCAGATATCAATATCGACTTCAATACGGTCTCTGGTAGACCTCGATTGGGCTCATCTTCACATGGTTACACATGCGAACTTCACATTGAAAGGCAAGGAACCACGCAGTAATTCCAATACAGCAAACAACAACAAAAAAGCCTTGCAAACAAATCAATAACCAACAACGTATCCAACATATTACCTACATCCGCACCCAGCCATCACCACTTCCCCACCATCGGCACGTCCCGTATTGTTGAGAGAAAAGCAGTACATAACACGGCGGACATTTGCCTCAGCCAATATATTCGATCAATCCGTGGCCGCAAGTCTAACGCGGCCAATCTTCCACCGACTAAGCCAACATCTTAGCTTATTCAAGGGGCTCCATATCGACAAAATAATAATCTCCCGCATCCGACTGGGGGTAGGCATTTATGTCTTGATAGTTCTCTAGAGGATAAGAGCCGACGTATCCGCTGTCACCATCGCCGCTGTGATAGGAGTGTTGCGAATGCTGAGCTTCTGTGGTCATCATCGCTCCCAGAGCCGGAGTCGACATAAACACGGGCATCGGGAAGAAGCCGGTGGACTGGGTAGAAAATCTCCGAGGTGGCAAGAAAAGCGACTGCGATACTGCCGGTGCGTGGGGCCTTCTAGGAGAAGTAGTGCTAGGGAAGGGCGCCCGATGGGTGGTGGTGCGCATCTGCATACTAGAGCCTGGACCAGAAAACGTCGCTGACGGCCCCGTTTTTGGGGAGTTGTCGGTTTCTGCCCGATACACGTTAATATACTGCCGGGACATTTGGGATCGGTCTTTCTACCCGGAATTACGCGCATATATTCAGCAAGGACCTGGGAAAGTTTGTTGGCAATCAACTGTGGAAGTTGTTGCGTCAGTTCTTTCGTCAGCCATTCTTGCGCGAACTTTTGGAAGTCGCTGTCGTTCAGGATCTCGCTGATGTTGTTTGTTGCTCGGCCGTCTGTTTGGGCCGGGGATGCCATCTCTAGTTGGGATGGGGCCCCAACTACAGTGCCGTTTTCCGAGACGATGGCGGAAAGGGTGGAACCTGCTGGTCTTTGAGTAAATCGTTTTTTTCTGGGCTGATCTACTAGACTTACACGGCGACGGAACTTGGCTCTGCCGACAATCGAATAATACTATATAAACTTGTTGCCATGTCATAGATTTTTTGGAACTTCTTTTTAGAGCTTTTCCTTTCCGGACAGTACTATCGTCAATAGGAACAAATGTCGCGGGCTTCTCGCAGTTGGTATCGCGCAGGTGCGTTTTGACCTGGGCATCATCGCCGGCGCGAAACGTCCCGCACCTAGGACACTGAAGAGGCTTCAAATGAACCCGGAGTACGTGTCCTCTGCACAAAGAGTCAGCGGTGGGATGAAGGGGGGCCATTTTCTGGGGAACACAGACTTGACTCGAGAGAGACTTGGATCCGACCACATCCTGCACTTTCCATGCTCCAACGGAGAATTCTTAAAGAATGGGCACGCGAAACGCTTCTCGCTATCACCATCAGAGTCGTCACGCTGCTGGTCCACAGGCGGGTTGTTTTTGGCACGCTTTCCTCGACCACCCACACCCTCGTCCCGACCGCCCCTTTTCTGCCCGCTGGGACTACCAGGGACACCCTCGCTGTGGTCGGTGTTTCTTTCGCTAGACACTTTACCTTTGCCTTTACCTCTGTCATCTGCGTGAGCTCGAAATTCCACGCATTCTGCCAACTCTACCGGATTGAAGGAGTCAGCACTTGCAGTAGTGCTAGCAGCGCAAGTCGGCGTGTCACTTGCGTATACCTCCTCTCCGGAGACACTTCCATAAGTACTGCCGTCAGAACGATACTCAGTTGTCAACAGCACCCATCCAGTCATTCCGTCGTCGTCAATCCCATCGAGTGACGCCTCATGAGGCGGGTAACATGCCTGTCCGTCGGAGAGAGTCCTCGTTCTCAGGTCAACACCAGTGTCCGCGCTCTCCGGACCTGCGGCTATTGAGCTTGAAGGGGTGGCCTTTTCGGCAATGTCCAGCCGCTGATCCCGGGCTATCTCATCATCCCCCCCGGTGACCTCGTCACCGAAGGCGATGTTGGTTGGATATTCTGTGAGAGTTTTTGTGAGACGAGTCTCATAATAATGGCTCTCTAAGTGACTTACTTGAGGAGAGGGTAAGGTTCGAGGCCGTGAACTGGTCGCCTGCGCCTACTAATGGCCATAAACTGGAATTTGTGGATTTGGACGTCCTCTCCGCCTTGTCCGCCTCGGTGGAATCGAGCTGCACTCCTCTGCAGAGACATGGCTCCTGGCGCATAGAACCATGACAGGATGGACATTCTCTGTTGGAACGCGCCGCGGTATCGCAAAGCGGGGGCAATAGCTCATCGTGACAAGATTCAACGGATCTCTCCCCGTTGTTTGAATAGTCACAAGTCTGGTTGTCCAGTTCGCCGACTATGGATTCGGCGCATACGCAACCTTGTCGATGTTTCGGCCTGACTGACTTCAAATGCGCCGAGTGCGCCTTTGGGGGCGTTAGCCTCGAGCGATTAGCCGGCGCTGGGGTGTCTTCGACGGGAATGTCGGGCGACGGATCCGCGGGACAGCCACCTAGGCCAAGTTAGCGACAGGCCACCCGTACAGCATCAAGTATATCCTACCAGACGGGCGTGGAAAGCCACTATGCTGCTGCTGCTGCTGCTGCTGCTGCGTCTCGTGCTCGTCAACCATAACTGCTAGTTCTACGATCGCAAGGGGCGGTTAGCAAGACGGCACTTTGGGAAGCTAACGACCGGACTGGATCCGATTAGATTGGACTGGACTGGTTACACCATACCGCGCAAGCAGATTTTCTCGAGAGTCTCGCTGTAGGTGTGATTTCTGGTTACCAGTGCTCTCGGTTCTCTTTTGCAAAGGACGACACAGCGACGACGAGGTATGGGTTAAGGACTGAGTGTGCACAGGTTGCCCTCCGCCCAAGTTTTATTGTGAAGGAACTACAAGGCTCCTATTGGTGTAACTACATACCCCTCCCCTGTCTGTGTGCGCACTTCGCAGATTCTGCGCACAATGATAAAACCCTCTCTAGATACCAGGGATCACAACTACAGTACAAAAGCATTGCTCGTGTGTGTATTAGCTATTTAGGATTCCGACTGTCTGTGAATACCGGTAGAGTAAAATCGACGACAACCCGACGGTCGAACTGGCCGATTGATTCAAGTGCCATTAGGTACCACCACTGGCATCACATCAGTGTCAGGGCTCCGGTTGACCAAAGTTGGCACAAGGCTCCGGCAGCCATCTCGGCAGCCATCTCGGCCACACCTCCCCACACACCCTCCCCGCTCCACCTATCGTACGAATAATGAGTTCCAAGCCCGATCTCTGCCGCTTCCCATATACCGACCGTACGCACCTACCGCCCTCCGCACCGGATTGAAGCTTTGTGGTATGTACCACTGTCCGGCGCACTGGGCCGAGCGAATAGGATTAAGTACCGGCACCGACACGCGTCTGCGTGCGCCGTCAAGACCGTTGAACGAGAAGGCTGCACAGAGTGTTTTTCGGTCGGTCAGAGACCGGTCATCAACCGTATCTACCGTATCTGTTCACTGTTCATCGGACAGAGACAACCGTTTGGCCAAAGCCTTCTGGAAGAGGATGTCCAGGAGTCCACCCGCGATTTTCTAGGGCCCATTAGGTACTATAGTAATGGGGTGTTTCATTTTCAGGGTCAAAGCTTCATCTACCGAGTGATGCTGTTTTTTTCCACACGGTTCCGCAATACCTAGCGCAGCATACCTCGGTAGAAGATGCAAATGCAGCACCGATAGGTACCGACCGATACTACCGCACAGCGGAATCACCGAGAGAGGGGGGGGGGGTACTGATTCACCGCTATTTTTTCGTTATAGTACTTAGTCAAATACAGTAGATGCCGCTATTTATCCGTGATGAAGTTCTAACTTCTGAATGCTCGGGAAATACAAGTAGTAGCCATTCATACTAACTCACTCGACACCGACCACTACGCACGTAATCTAGGTACTCCGAGGCCAATGGGATTTGCGCGATAGAGTAGAGTGCCTAGATCGCATGCAACAATCAATGATTAAACCACCAAAGAAACAACGGGATTTGCGCAAATTGTTGATATTACCCATACCGTGGTCCTTGCACTTATGCCTCTAGGTACTTCCCTTTTTATCTTATCATGTAATTTCCTAGGAGCACTCAGACAGACGGGATAGGTGCTCTATGGTAGGCCAGGCGGAGGGCAAAGAAGGGCAAAGGAACCCCGTAACCGCGCCCTCCGCCTGCCGCCTTGCCGCCTTGCGAGGAGGACAGGGCGGAGGAATCTGTTTTGTAACCGCCACGATCTACAAACTACCGGTGGAGTACAAGTTGAGATCGAATGCTATGGTGACTAAATGAAAATAAAAAGGGATTTATTCATTACCAAAGTCTAGCTAAGTTAAGCACTTACTGTATAATTCAAGGGGGGTAATAAAACCGTTGTTTCCTGCTGGACGGACATTGATATCGTACATATCAGGGCATAAAAACACGCATTTTGACCGTACTGGTGCCGCGATTTTTACCCAATCTTGGGCAAGCAATAAACGCGAAAGCAAAAAAATGAGATAGATATGCGCTTAGATATGTGGAGCATGTAGGGTCGATCAACCAAATCCTGGCGTGACGATCGGATGCACGGCTATATTTCTAAGAGATTGGTTCGAAGAGATTGGTTCAAATCGGGTCGGTGGCGAAAGGATGGACCTCTCGCCATCCCACTTCGCAGCCCTTGCTCGGCGCACTCCAGCCGAAGGCTGTTGCTCTGTGGAGCCGGTCGGCGTTCTGGCCTTGACTTGCAGCTTCGGCGTATCCGATCGTCTACATATTTTCACGGAGCACTGTGGCGTAGGCAGTGGCCACTGTGCCACTGCAAGCAAATATCTACGCGAACGTTTATCCGTAAATTATCTATGCAATGCGAAATCTGGATATGTCGCCGCAAATACCTATTCCCGGCCTAATGTTGAGCCATGCAAATGCGACCCTAGCCGAGTGCCGAAGCATGACTCCCTCGCTTCGGTCTGGCTAATCTATTCTGCGCCACTCGACGTCCAAAGTGGCAAGTGACACCAGCTACTGACACACGCTCGTACACAGCCCCCTCGGGCTACAGCTGATCCGCGTCTCCCCTCCCCCCGCCTACGACAACTCGTATGTAAGCCGTCGTGTTGCTTGTCGCGCTCACCGTCTCCTAACCCAACACACGTCTGTCTCACCACGAGCTTCCCTCTCTATTTCTCTCGCTGTCCTCTTCTCGTCCCTCTTTGTATCCATCACCAACGCGAAATAACTACCACAACCACCACCGCCTGTCCAACCACGGTCGCTAACTAAACCCACAACACATTACCTGCATCCCATCCAGGAATGTCTGCTCCCGCCCAGCCTACCGACTCAAAGTCCGCCTCGCTCCTACAGCCAACAAGTGAGGAAGCCCCGCCTATTTACAGCGAGACTTCCGGATCCACCATCGTTGTTGGCGATGGCAACGTCTTCTCCGACATCCCGCGTCCGGGCGCCATGAACTACGGCCCCGGCAACCGCCAATCCTACGTGCCGCGTGCTGAGCGGAAGGGCACCTGGAATTTCAGCCTCTTCGATTGCTTCAGCGACCCTGGTGCCAGTAGAGCTCCCCCCTCCACCCCCCTCCTATCTCTTATGGTTACTCTAGAATTGTTAGCTAACCCCTCTCCTGCTCAGCTGCCAAGGCTTGCTGCTGCCCATGTGTCTCCTACGGGCAAACCCGCCACCGCCTTCACGCCCCAGGCACCGACGCGCCCATCTTCTCTTCTCCCTGTCTCGGCTACTGCTTGACAGCATCCTTCATTCCAGGTGGAGAGCACATTTTTGGGTTCTTGCAGCGCAATGAACTCCGACAACGTCTCGACATCGACCAGAAGCCAAGCGAGGCGTCGGTCCGTCTTCCCGGCCGTGGAGGAGATCTCCGTGTCAACCAGGGAAACTCTTCTCCCCCCTTGTTTGAGAGCCTGCACACTGCTATCGGGTTCCTCGACGATGCGTGGAAACACTTCTTCTGCCCGTGCTGTGCACTTGTGCAGGAGGACCGGGAGACACGCGCCTGGGAGAGGGAGTACGAGGAGGGAGGACTGGACAGCTTCAATAACGCCGCCGAAGCTGGCGTCGAGGAGGAGGGCGAGAGGCTGCTCGGTTCCGAGAGATCGGGACTCCGGGGTCTTCGTGGGTAAAACTACTACTGCTTGATCCACCCAAAGGGTGATATCGGATACATGCGCGCTTCGCTATGTATAATTTTACTTTACCTATATTTGTTACTGCACGTGAGTATTGGGGGTCCCATCACTGGGTCTGTAGTTTGTTTGTTCTCTACTTTTTGTTGGCTGGGCCTGGACGGGGTATCATCGCGCTGTTTTCTTTTTTCTGTTTTCTTTTTCTGTTTTCTTTTTCTTTCTTTCCTCATGAATGGATCGGATTTTGCCTTAGGAACGAATGAGTGAGTTAGTTTAGTGCGCACCGTGATTCTTCCTACATATTCCTACGACTACGACCCTACATATGACACCATCCAGCCTTGTGGTCGGGTTTCAGCCGTCTCGTCCGACTGGTGGTCCGGAGCAATATCATGGCACACGTCCAGTGGATCCTCGGGGCGCCAATTACCATCTACCTACTCCACGTACCTACTCCACGTACCTACTCCATCTAACATACTCTCCATACTCTACACAGCCTACATTACGCGACCCGGCTTATCCGTAGTTAGCAGCCCGACACACACGGGGAATGAAAATCTGGTTTGTTGCGTACTTTGGATGGGCGAGAATGATGGTCGGTTACACGGTGAGTCAGTCAGTCTTAATTCCGTGCAAGGGGGCAGTCTACTCTAGGAGTCTAGGAGACAGTCTACATGTTAGGATTCTAGGGGAAGTGCGAAGTGGGGGTATGTAAGGTATGAGTACCTACCCACATACCACTGTACCAATACATACCAGGCGTCGGTTGACAAGGAGAGAGATACTGGGGAGAGAACATCGATTTACGTACAGTCTTTCTCGACCATGGCGAACAAAACCTACTTATTACTGGCTCTTTGTCAGCTGATAAGGAACTTGGAGTGCGATAAGTGCCGAGTGAGGTACTGTGAGGTACTGTGGGCATAGTTACCTACTTGTTTGCTCGTGGTGTCTCTGCAGTCGCTATGTGGACGATCAACTGGATATCCCGCTGGTGGGAGACGGGGTTTGAACCGATGAACCGATGAACAACGCCTAGAGGCTGGATCAGTAGGCGGGTTTGAATGATTATGCACATGCGTTGAGTAGCAGTTTACTGTTCGATGCTACAAATCCTTCGGATTTCGAGCCTGACTGCAGCCGCTATACTGGGCAGTGGGCGGTGATACTACTCTCCTGAGGTCTCCTCAGGTGCAAGTTGCTGAGGGGGCAAAAAGTGCATACCAGATATAATAGGGCACCTCTGACGCGGAATGTACACACCTATTCGCGTCCGCCGCTTTGCATATGCCGTAACTATCTCGAGTATCCGCGGACCACGATCTCCAGTCAGAATCACCCCGCCATCACCCCGCCATCACCCCGCCACCACCGCCCAGCACCGAGGTTCAACCTTTCAGGGCTATCTTCTCTTCCCCGGGAAGGATCCCGAGGCTCTGGTAGATCCGAGGGCAGCAACGATCGGCTACCTACGTTAAGCTGGCGTCTATAATCCCGTACCGGCCAGTACGGTAGGTGCCAGGCGGTGATACTGGTACCGCGCTGCGACGAGCGGTACTGAGCATTACGTTGCAGTACCGTTGCAGTACTATCGAAATGTATCCCGTCGGTCGTGACAGCTGTGTAAAACAGAATAAACTGTCGGGCTTTGCGGATAGCTATTGCTGGTTGCATACCCAGCCAGAGAGGGTGGTGATATGGGAATTGGATTTGAGTCTTGAGGGGCTGGCGGGAAGTGGATGCTATCATAGGCGGGTGATTGTTTTGTAGGTTACAGAGACGGAGAGTTGTTTGTAGGTCTGCTTATGGTAGCAGCGAGCTTGTGTATATGGGCATTATGAGCAAACATGTGAGATGATCATAAATAGTATCCAACGTACCTTCCAAGATCCCTGGAATTTAGCGAGTCCATTCGGAAGCGGGGAAGTTGCTTATCAAGACTCGGTATGGGGTAGTTCTAGCCCAAAAGAACTCGTCATGTTGGCTAGCTAGGCGTCGCAACAGGTTACGAACGGGATATTCCAGCGCAAACTGTCCACCTATACCTTACATCGAACCACCACCTATGAACCTCACCGATAACTATCTAGGCGTATTTGCCCTTCCCCAGGGCTCCTACTGTGAATCGCCTTGGCCGAAAGCTTCCCTAGAACCAACCATGATCACGAGGAATCTGATGCCATTCTCCCGGCACATGGCGATCCGCAGATTCGCTACCAAGTGGCTCGAAGCTACACCGTAGGCTGCGGGGGTCCGGCTCGCCTCGTCTAGCCTCCCTCGATGTTGCGGGGAGATAAGGGCCGAGTGCATCTGAGGAAGGCTAATATACATGCGTAATCACTCGGCCCTCAAATCTTGAATTTTGATTCCAGGTCTCAAGGCTGATTCAATCAGGTTCGAGGAGGTGTTCTCGTCTGAGTACCTATTGTATTTGGATAAGCCACCGATCGGTGAGTGTTGTGCGATGGCAGAAGGAAGCGAGCAATATCTTTGTCCTTCTGGGAGCTTCAGACTTCCATTTCATGCTCCACAAACTCTGCATTTCGATCAGCTCTGTTTCCCTTCGCCTCGCAATATTGATACGTACTCCTCCCCTCCCTAAGCGGAGTGGAGTAAGATAGCCGACCACCCTCCAGCCAGGGGCAATTGATCTCTAAAGCATGTAGTGACCTCGCGAGTTAAACGCACTTTGGCCCATTTCAACCCCGCTACGAAAGCCCAACTACCTACGCGGTATCAAAATTTGCGATTACGACCGAATCGGGGAGCCTATGCGCTTGATCTGTGGGGTAACTTTGTGCTTCTTCCTGGGCACTTCTGTGAGAAGCTTCGAGCTGGTGGCCCAGGGCCCAGCCACGGTCTGCAGAACCTTGTGTGCGATCTCCCTCCTATCGCGAGCTTCTGCCTCGGGACCAGTCGAAAGGATATCCCCCCCTCGCTGGCTACAGTAGACACAGTTCCGCAAAGGACCAGACCCCACGATCGTCGCGATCCGTCATGCGCCTGCTTGTAGGGTAAAGAAACCCACCGCCGACCAACTCCAAGGTATAAGTTTCAAGTTATTCCCCCGCCACTGTGGACACAGCATCCACACTCACACTCACTCACACTCACACATACACACGCAATCATGCCTGCGCTCCCACCAAGCCTGTGGGGCCCCTGGCCGGCGGGTCTCCTCGCCCAAGGCCCCATCGAAGTTGCGCCGTCAGCGTTTGTATTCAACACCCAGCAGCCGCCAGAGATCGAGACGTACGCGCTCGCTGTAGATGATGGCGACCAGAGTATGCTTGAGGTTGTTGAGGTCACCACGCTGACTAGCTTGACCACCCTGTTCATGCCCTTGGATGGCGACGAGTTCGTCGTCGACATCGAGATTCCGGACTCGTCCCCTGCGCTACCAGCTCCTACCATAGTCGAAAAGGAGAAGGAGGATGAGGGGAAACCTGTGGAGTCTCCAGCCGCAACCCCCGAATCGGGAGAGTTGCGCCGCCGCAGCCTCGGGCTCGAGAAAAGGGACCCGAACCCAGATCCTAGTATTCTCCCCTCCTACCAATCCCTCACGAGCTCTCACTCACACATTGCAGACTTTTGGGAAACGCTCAAGGGCTGGGGAGCAGCGATGAACCCAGCGCGCCTCTGGCGCGGCGGCAATGACGCCGTCGTCGCCGCCCCGGCGGAAGTCGGCGGCAGATTTGAACCGGTAACGCCCACATGAGAGGAGCCGCCGTCGCGCGTGTAGACCCACCCCTACTACCCAACCACCCCCGGTACGAATAGTAACTCGTCGGGCAAAGGGACACTGCCGGCACGGGCACGGCGGCTATCCGCCCATGGGGTACTACGGCGGTTCCGATGGCAGTGCTAACTACGTATTCGACCCCCAGCGGACTTTTCCCGCGCCGCCGAACAGCGAGTTCGGCTGGCCGATCATGTCGTCCGAAAACGGCGACTTCCTGCCCCCCGGGTACCCGCAGACGAAGGAGGGCGAGCTCGCGTACTGCGAGCAGGCACGACGGGTCACCAATAGCCCTTTCCGTGCGCGCATCGAGGCGCAGATGGAGGCGGAAAGGAACGGCGACGCGACTTATGGCCGCATATATGGCCTCGATGGAATCCGCCCGGTCGACTACAGGTCCGACACGACCGGGTACGGCACCTCGCGCGGTGGAAGTACCCGAGGTAGCGAGTCTTCTGCCGCTGGCAACAGTGCGCCCGCCCCCTTCCAGCTGCTTCCTGCGGACTGACGCCGTAACGCCCCCCGCAGTCCCCCCGCCAAACACCCCCAACCGCTGGCAAGACCCCTACTGGCGTGACTTCCGCAATGCTCCTCCCCCTGTGTCGATGACTTTCTCCTCCTCCTCCCCCCAGCGCACGCCTGGCCGTCTCCACCCCGACCGCATCTCAAGATTTGAGGGACTGCCCCTGATGGGAGCGCCGATGCCAATGAAAGGCCCACAGCTTGGTAGACGCGACATCCCGTTCTATGTCGACGAGTTGGGAGGTGCCTAACCCTTCCCTCCTGCCCCCCTCTGTACCTTTGACACTCTAACAACTCAAGGTTCGCCCAACAGCCTAGCCGCCGCGCCGCACCCCATCGCTCTGCTCGCGAGTATAGTCCTCCTCGGCATAGTCCTGTTCCTCTGCCTGGGGTGGTACATGCTCTCGACCCGATGCCGCCGCAGCAGAAGGAAGGGTCCAGCACGAAAGCTAAAGACCGATTACGAAGAGAGAGTGTACCACGTATAGCCTGCTTGCTTTGATTTAAATATTTTTTTGAACATCACGTGCCATCACTCACTCCATCGACCGAGTGACATGTCCGTGATGCATTGCCTTGTCGGCCCTTGTCGGCCGGCCAACGGTCAATGGTCAACCCGTCCCTGTCTTCAGTCATCCACCAGTCACCAGTGCGTACCAGTCACCAGTCACCATCAGTTGCTATCCTACCCCAACTCAGCCCCCCCGCCCCGCTCCGCTTACGCGAAGCATATAGCCGACCTTATGAGTACTGTATGTAAGTGCGGACCCCACACCCCGGCAGTCAGCACTACCTACATACCACCCTCCACCCTCCAGCACTACCACCAGCAGCAGCACCACCACCCACCAGGGCAGTGCAAAGTCGTGGGATGTGATGTATGATGTGCGCCAAGGAATAATAAAAAAATTTCTTCACGGACTGTGAGTCACACACCTTGCACTGGGCACTTTGCACCTACACCTTGCACCGTGCACCCTATGTAGAGTACTTTACCGTACCTCAGAAGAAGCAGGAGCTGGGAACCATGAGAGGTAGCAGACGGGAAAGCAGTAAAACGTTATCGATTAACTATGAAGTGGATAGAGGATGGGATAGGGATATACTCGTAGAGTAACAATGTAGAGTGGGTATAGTAGAGTAGAGTGCCTAGGTCCCGGATGTGCTGCACTCTATTGTAGAGTCTAGATACTCTAGATAGCTGTCTCGAGGCTGTGCTGTTCTGTGCTATGCTGTGCAGAGAACAGGTGGGTAGGTGGGTAGCTACCTGGTAGCCAGGTAGGTAGTTGTGTGCGTACGCAGTACTACGTACACCAGGCGTGAGGCCGGTGGGCTAGGTACCGGTATGTACCGGCGAAGCCTCGGGGCATTTGCTCCTCTAGGCTCAGGCTCTGCAACCAGAGCCTGAGCAAGAACCAAAGCCAGAGCCAGAGCCAGAGCCAGAGCCAGATCAGACAGAGCCGTATCGCTGGCCAGCCACAGTGACCGACCAGTGGGGTACTCTAGTTAGGAGGGGAAGGGGGGAGAGAAGACGGCAACTGCCTCGATCTCGTATCTGCTGGCTGGCTGGCTGGCTGGTTGGGTTGGAGGGATGGATGGCTGCGTTAACTCGTTAACTAACTAGGCGGCAGTGGAGTGGAGTGGAGTGGAGAGTGGAGAGAGAAGCGGGGTGGAGTGGAGGGCTCAGGAGGATACGAGGTGGCAGACTTATGGCTCGTCCGGTCGGTCGGTCGTGATGATTCTCGGGATCGTCAGCTCACAAGAGTCCGGTAGGTAGGTAGTCGGGGGCCCAACTTCTGCGACGGTATTGTTGCTGTAGTGGTAGTGGTGGTAGTGGTGGTGGTCAGCAGGCATACGGTAGGTATACGACGACAGTATGTCAGTATGTAATAGTGGAGTAACGACTCACGAGCACCCATGCGGTTCGAACCAATCTGTAGAAGGCTGCTTGCAGGAGACTCGGCTCACCTATCACGCAATGCCGCTCCGACGATCGGTAGAGTGCCATCACCGCACTCCCAACCGCGGGAACGGTCGTCGACTTGCTTTTAATCCGTGCGAGCGAAGCCTAAATATAAGCTGCGACAGAGACATCTTCAGCTGCCACACGGCCATCGTCGTCATCGTCAACACCACTGCGGCCTGTGGCTGCCGCGTGTAGCAAAGAGGAAGCATGAAGCACAGCGTCCCGCACGGTAAGACCAAGATAGTGAGCGAACGAGCGAACCATATATATTCCTAAACCCTAGATCCCCACCTAATCCGGAAACAAACGACAATCCACAGCCACGGACACAAGGCGAAGGCCGCGAGGAACAGACGAACAGGAAAGCTAAACAAAAACTGAAATCAAAAGAAGGTACACCGAGAGACAAATCCCGCCAAAGACCCCTAACCAATACGCAAAAGACATTACACCCACGCAACCATGAAACTGCTGGTTTTGATACTGTGAACATCAGACGTAGTAAAGCACGAATGATAAAAAAAGGTAGGTATCCACGCCGCTCAATGGTGCGGGGAGACCCCACCACCACCACGATAGAACGCCTTGAGGATTTCCTCTTGGAACTATTCTATCGAACGCCTTGCGGAATTCCTCCATGACCATCCATTTCCCAGCCAGATCGAGCACGCTTGCCACATCTTTCGCCCATTGACGGAGACCCAATAATTGGGCTACCAGCGTAGCGCATAGTCGGGCTCGTGAATCCCGCCAATCCCCTAAACTTCGGTGTCACACCGGAACTCCCACTCGTGGAGTGGGAACTGCTGTCCGTAGCGCTCGGGCACGAGCGTTTACGTCCAATTGACGAAAGGGTTGGCGTTAGCGATCCGACGCTGGTTGCGGGAGAGGGAGCCTCGCGGAGAAGGTTCAGGGCCCATGCAGCCTCGGTGGACTTGGGAGACGCCATGACTAGGCGGTGCTGCTGCTGCGGTGAGTTCATCGGCGCAAGCCTTGCGGGAGAGCCCATGGGAGTATAAGCGATGATGTTCGGCGAGGAAATTGCGGCTGTGGAGCATTTGACAGCAAGGCGATGCATGCCCAAACTGTCTTGTCGTTTGAATGCCGGTACGCTAGCGCTCGCCAGAGTGGGCACCGATTCAGCCTCGTCGCACCGTGGAAGGCATGTCGCCAGATTACTCCTCCGGGGTGACAGATCGTCAGCAACACTGGTGATTGACCTCCGCCTGCCCGTCTCGGCGCTGGGATAAGCCTCCTGAGCACACCCGGAAAGAGCGGAACTCATTGCGCTTCTCGCAACACTAGCCATAGAGTTCACTTTGGACGTCGAAATTCCCATAGCACTGTTCAATCTGCTTCCAGCGTTCACACTCGCTGCAGGAGTGTGAACGTTGGAAACGGAACTGACAAGACGTGGGCGGGCCGACTGGTGCAGATGATGCAGCGCCGTGAAAGCGTTCGATCTCTGTTGTTGCAGCTCGAGGCTGCGGGGCACAGGTAGGGCAGGTGTGGGCATTGAGTGTGTCTTTCGGAGGGTAGGCGGCGGCGGTGGCGGTGGAACGGACACGAGAGGGGGACCGAATTCGACCTGCGATGCCAACGGCCTCGGCTGAGCGATCTCCGAACCTCCAACGTCCGCCTCATGCAAGTCAGGTGATAAGCACAGTATCAATCCACACCATTCCCGCTTCCGCATTTCCTCGTCGCTCCAGGGACTCGATCTGTTGGGCGAAACCGGTGACGGCGATGGTGCCGAGGTGTACTTCAGTACCAGATCCGTCCACTTCTGAAAGACCATCTCCGACATGTGAAGTTTCCAATCGACAGCCTTCAAGAATGCCATCTCGTTGACGTTGATCTCCTGCGTATTGAGGCCAGAGATTTTACTCCACGCCCGGGCAGAGTAATTCCGGTCCTGCAAGTACTTTGATGCAAGGATCAATGCAGCGAGAAACATCCTGCGGCCGCATTGCTTAGCGCGGACCAGCTGTGCCTCCTCGGCGTTAAGCTCGCTGTCTTGGTAATCCATGCCCGGAAGATGGGGTCGGATAACGATCAAGTAGTAGAGCGCGACTTGTAGAGTCGAGTAACTGGTTCGCGATCGCCGCAAAGTCTCCTGGATGAAAGTCCGCAATGGTAGAACTCCATCCTTCGGCCCAGACTGGGCAGTGACATACTTGGGCGGTTGCCAGATTGTCTCCACGATTTGCGCTGCGGAATCTTCAGAAAAAAGCTTAGCCTCCATCCATCCAATAATGCATCTTGAGCGAATTCATTCGTATTATCTTCCAGTTTTGATCTTTTCATTGTTTTTTCATCTTTTTTTTTCATCTCTTCCGAGTGTGTTCTCTCTATACGTACCGACAAGGTTCTCGACGAAGTTGACTTTCCTGTCTGCTTGGCGCTGCAGGGTAGGGACCGGCGGCATCACGCAACCTTCCGCGGCAGAGCATGGATTTCCATTGTTGGCTTCCAAGAGTCGGTTTGTCCTTCTGGGATTCTGCCTTTGCTCTATGGGCAACGGTTTCTGAGAAATGTCCAACGCCGGACATGGGTGAGGGTGCCGTACGCCCTGCTGCTGCTGATCGATGGAGCCTCTGGGAGTCGGCGCTGTAGCGCGTCTTCGTACATCAGGTCCTAGGATCGATTGCGAGGAGAGTTGCGGTAGTATCGCGGTCGATGGCGCCGAGAAGTTGTCTATGGTCGTCGAGGCCACACTGGTAGCATTCGAGGATGTTGTTGACCGAGCCGACCAAACCGACGACGTGCCGGACGAGACGGACAACACGGAGGGTGTCGGTGATGGTGGGTATGAGATCGCCTGGGGGGTAGCGACTAAGGTCATATTGATTTTGAAAATAATGCTAAGCGCACAAGGTGTGGTACGAGTAAGAAGGATACAAAAGAGTAGATTGAGTGGAGATTCAGAGGCGTTGGGCCTAATGTAGAGGTATGTTCGAAGACCTGTAATCCGTCCTTAAGGTCGAGTTGAAGGCCGACTGTTTCAGGAAAATTGGTCGAACCGGAGTTATAGTCGAGTGATCGGAATCAAAACCTCAGATGTTGTGGGGTGATGATCGGTGTGGCGTGGCCGGAATATTCCCCTCAGAAGGCGATATATCCAGATTTCTCGGCGGGAGAGCGATAGTGCTAATCCGCCAGGTTCGAATGACAGAAAGACGCTCTGTCTCCTAAAGATGGTGATGTGATGATATTGAGGAAAAACCCAAACGCGCCCAACAAAGTCGAAAAGACACCGTCAAATGCCCAAAAATGAGAATCCGGTTAAAAAAAACGGCCGACGAATAAGCAAAAAAAAATGGGCGATCAAGATCCGACCTGTACGAGGGGTGTCGGATTTGCAATAAACAAGAAGTCGAAAAAAAGTCGAAATTAAATCGGACAGTTCAGGTCGGAAAAAAAACCTGCCAAATCCGCGCGAAGAAGAAGTAGTAGTAGGGAAACCGTGACTCCTCGGACAACCAAGACTCCAATCAGCAGCAAACACGAAAAACAGATTCCGAGATTCCTAGGTAAATTGTTGCGGGTGATGATTAATCTGCAAGAAAAGGGTTTCTTCTTTGGCAAATTAATCGGGTGGGTGTAACAAAGAATCTAGAAATCAAAGGCCAGGCAACAGCATGGACGAATAAAAAGAAGGAGCGGTAGCGGTAGAGATAATCGAAAAAGAAGAAGCGGCGGCGGCGGTGCTCGGGGGGACGTAGGTACCAGGTGTGGCAACGGAAGGATAACGTGAGGCGAAGGTGGCGATGAATGGATATGCGTCGGAGGTGCACAAATGCATTGTGTCACTCCTCACGAGTGAGGCGGGAGGTTTCCGGCGGGTGAAGTGGTGGGCGTTTTTGTAAATGACTGTTGAGTCGAGGAGCGCGCTGAGCGAATCTCAGCACCTCGTGACGTTTGGAGGTGACGGGGGTGGGTTGCGGCGAACGGGGAGGACGCGGCGACGGGGTCTGTCGCGGGCGTTTGAGATTAGTGACGACGATAGACGAGTGAGTGGACAGTAGGAGGGTTTGATCAGGTACCAGAAGAGCTGGAAGCAAGGCGGTGATGGGTGATTCCAGGGGGGGGGGGCGGTTATGTGGCGCGGGAGAGGGGCTGAGGATGTGACGACGCTCGTTCGGAGGCACTATGACAGATGGAGCCAAGTCTTAGGCGGTGGGGGGGAGGGGACACAAAGTGCGTACGTGACAGCCAGATACTCCGCCAGACTTCCAGAAAACAGACTTCTAGAGACTTCCGAATTCTTTTGTTCGGGGGCGGTGAATTCTATGCTGAGAATAGCAACTTGAGGCGGAGGGAGAGCGTCCTGCTATATATGAGTTCCAGTCAGACTGGTTTCGAAGCGATCGCAGCGGGGCAGGGATGGGGTGGGGAGGGCGATGTGAGGAGTGGGTATGATTTTCAGCGAGTGAGTAAGGCTCGAAGGCGGGAAGGCTGAACATCATGCCGACTTTCTTGGGTATGAGAGACGGGTGTGTGTGGGAGAGCGAGACGGGGAGGGGGGGTGGAGGCGGTGGAGTTTGTAGAGTAAGATTGAAAGATGAATCATGAGTGACTTGGGGACAAGCCATGCGAGAGTTAGCGGGGTGGCGAGACTTTGCGCGGGCGTGCGGGCGCAAAGCATCCGAATCCTAGGCATGAGTCTTTCCGTTCGATTGGAGGAAGACTCTCGCAAGGGCGGTCGCAGCAACCGCGGACAGACAGACAGGCAACAGCTGGCCTCAACACAAGAGCACGCGAACAAGAGCAAGAAATGGATGGATTGTGAATAATGAACTATAGACTCTGCTACGTACCACCGAGGATGAGCTGTTGAGTCTTTCAGTATTCGCGCGCGGATTGGATGGCAACGGGGCGGGTGGAGAATGTGAGAATGGCCGCGCGCAGACAGATTTCTTCGGCGAGCTGGCTGGCAATGGGGGATGGGAGGGGGAACGGGAGGGGGGTGGAGTGGCAACGGAGAAGCGGGATTCGGGGGGGGCGAGACTGGGCGGAGAAGCGGGATACGTGGAACAGGACAAGATAGCGGGCGGACTGTTGACGGTTGAGTGTAAAATCGACTGGAACTGGGCGAGAGTCCTAACAGCCTGGGACACCGAACAGCAGTGAAGTCATGATGGGTAACGGAGAACTGTGAGAAACAGGCGCTGGGTCAGCTTATGAGCGGAGGGCAACCGAGCGCGAAGGAGGGGGGAGACCCAGTAGAGTGACACACTGCTGCTTGCTCTGCTACGCCATGGCCAGCAGTACTCCCACACACATACCGAACAACGCCGGAGTAATCAAATCCCACAGTCAACCTTCATATCCAGTCCGCAAATCCCCCCTCATATGCTTGTGGAGGACAACCGACGTCTAGAGCTCCATGTTCTCCAGCGACCATGGTGGATAGTGGTCGCGCTACGTCCTGCCAGCCAGTCGGCCCGTTCTACATAGAGTGTGGACAGATGCGTGCCGATACACTTGAGAACGAGGGAACGAGGGACGAAGGATCGAGGAAAATTAAAGAGCCGGGACTCCATCGCTGCACCAGCCATCGTGTTCGACGGCGGCGGCGGCGGCGGCGGCGACGTCGTCTGGCTGACTGGCTTGTTTGATCGACGCACACGGCAGCGTGAGTCGGGACTTGGAGAATCTTGCAATCGCCACTTCTCCGAGATGCTCTTTCTTTCGACTTTGGCGTCTTTTCAGGACGACAACGAGCACTCGATCTCCCCCCGTTTGCGATGCATGAATTGTCAGACCATGATTCGCTACACATAAAGGCCCCGGCTCAGCTCGCGCACGCTGTGCATATGCATCTCTCAGTGCATCTTAAGTCTGCAGAAGCCTGATACCTATGTGGCCCACGGCCATGAACTCAGCCATGTCCAATTTACCTTCATAAGTACCTATGTTGCGGCTGCGGGTTGTGCAACGGATCCGATGGTAACTGGCAGCTCGGACTACGTAAGACCACTGGCCGGAGGAATAATAATAACAATGCACGCAGGTGAGCGGAATGAATATCACTCGCTCGGTGCTGTGATGACTCCAACACACATACCCAAGTGGTAACCACCGACTCGAAATCCTTCAATAAACCACTCAGTATCCTCGTCCCCCACCCACCCGTCACATCATCCATTCATCTGGAGTCAGTCCCAAGCCATCTGTCTGTCTGTCCGTCTGTCTGTCGGAAGGCTGGGCTGGAACCATACACACTCACAAAAGAGTGCGAACAGAGGACAAAGAAGCTTGAAACTCCGCTTCTCGGGTCCGTATCAGCCTTACTATCGTACATACCCCATTGGCCCGTCAAAACCGGCCGAAATAGCTCTATCCCTGGAAGCCGCGCTTTCTAGACGAACTCCCCGCCTTCTTTGTTTAGTTTCGATACGGCAGAGCCGCCCTGCTGTCTGCTGTCTGGTGCTGCTGCTGCTGCTGCCTGGCTCGTGGCGTTCGAAGCCCAACCCAACCCCTTCCTCGCCAGCTCCTCCTCGTCTTGCCCAACTGGCTGATCGATCATGCCTTCTCCGTTCTCCCCTAGCCGGCCTGACTCGCCTAACCAGCTCGTTCCGCAATATTCGGCTCTGCTAACATTCCGGTGGAGTCCCGCTCAGGCTGACAGCCCGCCGAATTTGGTCCTGTCCCACCGTCCCACGCATTCGAAGCACACAACAGGACCTTTTCGTGGAGACCTGAAGCAACGTGGGGTAAGAGTGGTGGTGGTGGAGGTAGAACCGTGGGACGGTGGGAGGGAGTCATACTCATACATCGCTGCTGACCTTAGTTTAGCATGATTTCCCGATCCCTGTCCCACTACTACATGCCCATTCCGCTGACGCCAGCCCTGTCAATCGCGGGTGATGATTGGACGATTCGCTTTCTTGATGCAGATTGACATCAGGAAAAGGGATTCGTGAGAGCGTGTGGTGTGGGTGCGTGTGAGTCACTCGTTCTCCTTGTCCGCCTGCCACGCTACATACCCTACGCTAAAACACAGGGTAGTTAGTGGCTGGCCAAAGGAGAGAGCGGCGGACAACATGACGATGGTGACTGGTGCCTACTCTACTCTACATACCAGCCATATTTGCCCTTTTCTTTTTTCACTCCTCGGTTGCGATGCCTGGTTAGGCAACTCCATTTTTGTATCCGAAATCTTGGGATGAGGCTGAAGGAGGGAACGAGACGCACGGCGCAGGTACCGATATCACCACCAGCAGCACCACCACCTCCATCACCACCACCACTTCGTTTCCTACACCACCGCCCATTCACGAATCGGAAGGAAAGGCCCATCGAGGGTTGAGCGCAGACGGGACGATCCATCATCTCATCTGACATATTGCGGCTCATCTCTTCGACACAAGTAATCCACGTTGTGCTTCTACACTAGGTTACATACGAAGGAAGCGGCTGCCTGTGTCTATATCCGTGTCTGTGTATCCAGACCGGAATGACAGTAACTATCCGGACCGGAATGACAGGAGATCACCGCAAGAGACTCGACAAAACCGTTGCGACATAACTTCCTAGAGTATGATATGCATAGGAACGCGCAGGCCCACCGGAACAAGCCGTGAAACGGTTCGCGGCGCGGCGCGGCAAGGTACTCCTCTACTCTACGGTACCATCGCCGTCCGTCCGCTTCCCCTCTCTTCCGTTCTCGCTGTTGCCTGGAACGGAACAGGAGACTCACGAGGCCAAAGATACTCTGCACACATACACATGACAAGGACCAACGTTTCAAAACAAAATCCTTGTTACACCTGTACACCTATATAGATGGACGAAGTGGAGTCGAGCCGAATAGTTCTGGATTGGAAAGCCGGATAGGGC